AAGAAAAGAAAAAGCTTTGAAACAATTCTTTTTTCAGGAATGAAAAATTGATTATATCCCAAGGAAAGAGAAGAAGAAATAAAGAGGTTCTTTCCTTTACTTACAAAATATAGAGGAAATTTGGAGAAGAGACAGGAAGGATACAAGAAAAAGAGAGAGAAATACAGAAAAAGGATAAATAGATAGACAGAGACATAAAAAGAGAGAGAGAGAGAGAGGGAGAGAGATAGAGGGTTATTGGAAAGAAAAGGTAATACAAATATTAAGGGAAAAAGTAGAAATACATTGAAAAGCAAAAAGAGCAAAAATAATGACAACAGTAGCATCAAATACAACTTCGTATCTAGAAACCTTCTCCTCTTTTGATAGTTTCTTAGCTCATCAGCGACCAATAGTTCCGTTAGTTCAAAAATTCGGTACCCCAATATGGTATATAATCGGATTTGTTGGTAATACTTTAGCCTTTCGGCTGTGGATTAAGAGAAACATGAGAAATTCGTCGGGCTTCTATTTAGCCGCTTTAGCTATGTCAGATCTCATATTTTTACTTATGAATTTGCTGTTTGAACTTCAAAATACGTGGCAAGTAAACGTGCTGTATCAACCTGGAATTTGTCAATCTTTTCCGGTAATATATATGGCTATACAGTACCTTTGCCCTCTATTGGTCTTGGCTTTTACAGTTGAAAGATACATTTCAATTTGCCATCCCTTTAAAAGTGAGGTATTTTGTACAATGAGCAGAGCTGTTAAAGTGACGATTGGCCTGTCTCTTTTAACTCTGGCCCTTCATGCTGTTCAAGGCGAGTACTTGTAGAGTCTGATTGAACATTTCTCATGAAATATATAGCACATGAGTAGAGCAATAGAGATAAAGAGATGCTTATATATTTTAGTCTATTACCAATAGGTGACGCTACCAAAGAGAAATCGTCATTATTAGTTTTATATATATATATATATATATAATTAATTAAAAAAGGAAAAAGCTTAGCTAAGGGATTTTTCCTGTATGTTTTCGTTTAAAATAGAAATGCTTTAAGATTGAATGGCTAAGGTAGTGTGTGTGTGTGTGAGAGAGAGAGAGAGAGAGAGAGAGAGAGAGAGAAAGAAAGAGATTGAATGAGAGCAAGAACCTATTTTAATAATCTATTTTTGGATTCGAAATATAGGTTATTTTTGGACGTTTGACGCAAAAAACAGGGAATGTACTCTGAGGAGAAGTGCTATTGCTGGGGATCCTTCATTATGGTCGGTTTATACTTGGTGTACGGAATTGATTGTTTTTGCCCTAGTTCCCGTAGTTATACTCGTACTAAATGTATTGGTTATTAGGGAAGTTAGGAAAATATCAAAGTCAGAGGAAAAACGCCTATTTAAACATACGACAAAATCCAAAGGAGGAAGTAAAACATCTGCTACAACCGTCACTTTATTAGCCGTCTCTTTCTATCTAATTGTAACCACACTTCCAGTGACGATATTCTATTCGATGGGACATTCGTTCGAAAAGGGCGATCTGAGTCTATCGGAAGAAGAGATAGAAGAAGACAAAACCTGGCAGAGATACTTAACATTTTGGACAATTAGGATATTCGTTCAGCAATGGGGAATGTCTCATTACGCTTGTAATTTTTTCATTTATCTTCTAACTGGTAAAAAATTTAGAGATGAACTAAAGAAACTTCTGTGTAAGAGGATGCCGTGGAAAAATGACGATTATAATAGAAGCGTCATGTTTAGTGCCCTACCCCAAACAGAACTTAAAAACGGTACGTCAGGTCAAGGTCTGACTAGTTCTGTATGATGAAATTATTATTTATGATTACATATTATACATATATGCATTTGCAGTATAAACCAAAGTGTAGGCTGGCAAACAAACAAACAAACAAAGTAACTGATATACAGTATATTTGTAGACATTATATGCGTATTCTTAAGAACATTTATCAGTGTGTACGATAAAAACAACATGCATACTTTTCGCATATACAGTCTTTGCAGTATATGTTCCAGCTTTTATTCTTTCTTCTTATTTGCTCTCTCTTCTCTCTCTCTCTCTCCCTATAACCTACTATTAATAAAGACACAAATTATTCCAATTTCTCTTCCTCCTCCCTTCTATTCCTAGCAAAAACTGGATATCGTCTTTCTTCGTTCTTTAATAAACAAATTAAACTCATCATCTTCACTCGTTACTCTTTCCAGAATATAACCCTTATCATTACTGTTAATCTCTTCAAAAAGTTGAAAAACCCTTCTTTTAAAATTTATACTTATCAAACTGCAATTGAAATTTCTACTGCAATATTTAAAAGTATTTAAAAGTGACGTAAACTTAATCTCTTCCTTATTAATTAGCCTCTTTCTTTTCACAAGTACGAATATTTCGCGATTATCTTTCGAGCTATTTGATGATTTAACTAGATTATTTATATTCTGAAGATTTCTTTGTGGAGATGAGGTAAAAGTGGCCACTGTAGTTGTAGGCGAAACTGCCAATCTTGGAGGATAAAAGCTGTAGATAAGGTTAAATAGTCATTAATAGCAATTCTTTTTATAAATATCAATGGGAAAAGGCATGAAGGGGGGCGGGGAGAGAGAGTGAGGGAGGAAAAAACGGACAGAGTAACGGTAGTTTAGCTTAGGCTAAACAAGTGCGAATAGGTGGGAGTATAGTGTAAATAAATCGAGTAATGTATATAATTACCTAGTGATTAAGGGGGCGGAGGTTGACAAAGAGAAGGGATCGCCAAAGTAATAGGAATATAATTCAATTTCTCTTATGAAAAGCTTATGAGTTTGTTTATTTAAGACGGAAATTTGTAAAGCTCTTCCTTGACAAGGTAAATAATTCCAATAAGAAATGTACCAACAACTTCTAATGCTAATGAAGCAACTTGTCACATTTTCGTCAGCACCTCTTAATCGAATTTCAACTTGACTGTTTTCTAAAGAGCAAAGAATTGTTATTCAATTATTTAATGGATGATAAAGGAAAGATAAGAGGATGTGGTTTGTTGTCGGTGGGAAGAAGGGTGGAGAAGGGAAGAAATAGGAAAGTGAAGAGAAACAAGAAAAATCAGTATCTTTTTTTAGAGTGTAAGGTCTTATGCATGGGATATAGTTTGACAAGAGTATTTCTTTTTTATTTGGTATTTGTTACCTCTAGGAAGAAATCTCATTCTAATGATATTTATTAGAAATTCTTTTCTTAGTTGAATAGAAAACTTTCTTAGACCGTCCAAAGGAAAACTATTATACATTTTTCCATCTATTAACTGACTAGCCAATCCTTTTCCGCCGTATGCTTTACCTCCCCTGGCTAAATTCTTGGAAATACCGTCCGAAATTAGACCTACTGATTCTTCCAAAGTCGCTACTAAAACCTTATTACCACTAATAAAACTTTTGACAGCTAGAGAACCGCCATGTATTCCGGTTGGGACGCTAGTCGACTGTTCTAGCTCTTTAACTGCCTCTATAGACGTTCCTGTACGATATATATAATTTTTCAACAAAAGTAAAAGTCATCTTATGCGTTCCATTCGAAAAATGATACTAGACAGAGTGTATGAAGTACTTAATAGTGAATTTACCCGAAGGCGAAGACAATATGATAGCTAAACATCCTTTCTCTTGGTAGGAATTCAATAATCTATAACAGGTCTTGAAATAAATTAAGGTCGGAAGTCGAAAGATGATTATCTTTCCCCGAACAGATTCGAGATCAGGTTTATTCATACTACGGCAATTATCTTTAATATATTCAATGATAACTTCACCTTTTATCTTTAAAGAAGAGAAATTAATGAATATTTGAATCTTGAAAGAAAACGACAATTATTATTCCAAATACCTTTAGCCAAGAATTAAAATAAGAAGGAAATGTGCGTATGGAATATCGAATCATTTCCGGTAGAAAATGAACATAAAACTCTCCACTATCAAGAGTTAAGGAAGGAGAAATAAGTAGTATGGAAACAATTAGGAGACGGCAGGTTAGATTCCTTTCCATTTCTTTCTTTCTTTCTTTCTTTCTTTCTTGCTTTCTTTCTTCTCTTTGTTTTATTCCATTTGGAGATGTAAAGGGAGAGAAACCTTTCTTTCACATTTCATTGTGTCTGGGTATTAATCATATAATTCAAATTATGATTATCATTATAATTACCATTTTCCCTCGTCTTGAATTTATTATTCTTTGTTCTTTTCTTTCAAATTAGATAAATCAATTCATATGCAAAATCAATGTATTCCACTTTTCAATAACTTTTTAAATAGCTCTTTCCTCTCTTTTCATTCCCTTCTCTCTTCTGCCTAAAGTTAAACGGCAAGGAGGAGATACGTCGACTCTTCCCCTTCTTCCTTGTATTGTCCCGTGTCTGATCTTTACTCCTCCATCAGTAGTACAGGCCTGTTAATCTAATGTGCACACTTACAACGCGTATTTGTTTATAGACCATCTTTATTTTATAGGTTTTTCTCTTAAGAAAATCTTTCAAGCATGAATAATCACTTTTTATTAATGATTTTCATTTTTCCTTCTTAACCTAGATTCATTATTTATTTTGTAAAATGATAACATCACTTTTTTTTCCCGCCAAAAAAAAAATAAATCAATTGTGCCTGTCTGTCTGTCTATCCTTCGTTCTTTTTCCCCTTCTCTCTCTCTTCGTGTCCTCTTCTACTCATTTCCCACTACTCTTTCTTGTTGTATTATTCTCTTTCAATATTATCGTTATAGGCCTAAATTTCCCCCTCGTTTTTTCCACGAAAAAGGAGTTTTGTATAGGCTGGTTTCCTGTTTCATATATACGTCTTTTTTTTTTTTCTCAGAATAGTTTTTATACAAAAACTAATGATTTATTCGAAAAAGAAAGTGATTTCATAGGAATTAAGATAAGTGACACTAGTTGGATTATGTCATATTATGATCAATATCTAGGAATTTAATATTATACTCGAAGTGAATTTCGCACGGTTCTTTTTATTCGCGTAATGACTTTATACCAACTTGGTTATAAAGACTATAACGATTACGTAGAAACGTTGGATAATTTAACAGGTAAATAAAAATGGTTAGATATTTGTAAAATATTTGAATAAAGCGAATATTTTTAATAGAAAGCATTAAAGCGAACTTAGAAGGAAGAAACGATGATGACTGGAAAGAATTTGATAATGGAATCGTTAAGTTTATGAAAGAAAACAAAATACCAGGAATATCATTAACAATTGGACGAAATGGAAATATTATCCATGAACAGAGTAAGACAAAATTGACAAATAGAGTAATCTTATGACTTTGCATAATCGGTATTGTTTCTCTTTATTCTTCTTGACCAGCTTACGGTTTTGCTAATAGAAGAGAAAAAGTCAACAAGTCAAATCTATTCAGAATTGCTAGCGTAAGTAAGATGCTAACTTCAATTGGAATTTTAAGAATTATTCAAAATGGTGGTCAATTGAAATTTCATCAAAAAGTCTTTGGCCGAAACGGTTGGTTGGGAATAAAAGAAAATATCTTCATTCATTGAATCATTCATTGTAAACTTTGTTTACTGTTTAATTATCATATTAGGCATCCTATCTTCCTATTCCCCTACTGAAAGTGGCGATAAACGCCTACTGAACATAACTGTTCGACACCTTTTACAGCATAGTGGCGGTTGGGATAGAGAGATAGCGGGCGATCCAGTCTTTTATAAGAATGTTGGTAAGAATATGAAAGTTGATGAGCCAGTTTCGGCCCAAGTATTAATATCTTATATGATGGGTCAGAAATTACAGTTTAAACCAGGTAATCTAATGAGGTTTATATAGTGTATTCACACTCTCTTTGTACGTAGTAAAAACAATAAACAATTTCCTCTCTTTCCCTCTGTGAATAGGCTCAATTAATTGAACGCCTTTAAGCTTATAATCTACCTATTCACCAGTTCATCTTCTCCTTTTTAGGTAGTAAATATTGCTATTCAAATTTTGGTTACGTCATTCTTGGAAGAATAATTGAAAAAATCAAAGGCGTCTCTTATGAAGAGTATATTAAATCTTTTCTTACCGATATTGGCGTAGATGATATGAGAATTGGAAAAACCCAATATTGCCATAGACTTATTGAAGAAGTAGAATATTTTGTAAACCCTCTAATGGGACCTATATTAGGAAAAAGCCTATTCAGCACAGACGAAGAGGAAGATGATGGAAGCCAAGTTCTATTACCATACGGATCGTTTTGTCTAGAGAGTGGAGATTCGGATGGAGGTTGGCTAGCTACTTCAAAGTCTGTTGTAAAATTGCTAATGAGTCTGAGCAAAGGGGAAGGTGAAGGTTGTTTATTAAATAAGAAATTAACAAATGAAATGATGAAGAAACCAAGATATAAGAATAACAAACAATCAACTTGTTGGTACGGATTGGGCGTTGATGTTATAGGCTTCGATAAGTTATCTTTCGAACATACAGGACATTTGGATGGTTCTACTTCTATCGCTTTAAGAAACGATAAGGGATATTGTTGCGCTCTTCTCTCCAACTACTGGCCGTTTGAAAGCGACTATTCAGGCTTACTATCAAATCTATTAAATAGAATCGAAGATTGTAGTTTGTACAGTATTCCTAATATTTTTGGCGAGTTTAAAGAGTCAATTTCGTTCTATTCGGAAAGATTCATGTTGTGTTTGAACGTTGAATTAAAGAACTTGAAGGAATTCAACAATTTTTGTAGATATAACTTGAATATGGGACCGTCTACAATTTGCTGTTGTACAGTTAAAGGCGTTATCTATTGTTACGGATTCTGGGTAAAAGATTCTAAAAACGAGCTATTAGTGTGTTCAAAGGAACTTGTCGTAGAGGAAATTAACAGGATAAAAACTGCTAACCTTCGCCTCATTTACGTCTATTTCGTACGAAATATTGATGTGTATTTATTAGTATTCGGTCAAGGTCAACCGAATACTACGCACTACCAACTCGAATCCGACGAAGCGGACTTGGAAAGGATTCTGTCAACACCCGACGTACGAGTTGTATCGCTTACATTTAATAAGGAGCGCTATTGCGTTGTTTACGAAAAGGATGAGGAGGAAAGGGACAAGGAAGGCGGAAAGTCTACTAGACTGGAAAAGAAGAAATCCTATAGACAATACGTAGAAGTGAATAAAGAAGAAGAGTATGATAAAAAATTTAATATGCACTCAAGGTACGGAAGAATGCTGTCCTTTCTCTTCTTTTCCGAAACAGGCGATAAAATAGCATCTGTGTGGAACGATAGCGGATCATTCTATTTCTCGGCCGAGAGGGAAATGTCCAAATACCAACTAATAACCGATTGCGGTTATCTTTACCGGAAAGGTTATAATCCTCTCTCCGTGACGTCATACATCAAGGACAATTGCCTGAAGTTTGCTTCGGTGTTTTATAAAACACCGCAAAAGAGGAAACTGACGACAAGAACGTTTAAAAAATAGTTGTTTATGGTAAAATGTCTAAGCAAAACTTGACCAATAGTTAATTATTACAACCACAAAGTATACGTTGGGTTGTTTTCTTAATTCTTATACTCGATAGATGTCGTTAGTTGGTAATAAACTGTGCGCTTTTTTTGTTTTTTTGTATAGGCGTAGGATAGGTTGATTCCTGGTACCGTATCCGTTCAGTAATATGAATCGTTTGACCACAATTTAAAACAGATAAGAATTGTATTCAGATCCAAATTGAAGTAGAACACGATCTAGCAAACAAAGTTGAGGAAGATAAAAGGGATAAAGTGAGAAGTAAGGAGGCGAGGACAAGAAAGAAACCTAGTAGTCGGTAGTGCGTTGAATGTCAACACAAAAATACAACTATATACCAATATAGGTGATATAGGTATATGTAGATAATTAGAGTCGGTCGGATAGCTAGATAGCGAGGTAGAAGAGGAAAAGGAAGAAGACAATTGTATATAATAACGTTGATATTTATGATTATATTTAAGTATCTATTGATACAAAGAAATTTCTGGATGCTAATTTAAATAATGAAGAGAAAGAGTTTTAAAATACTATGTTCAATTCTATGCATCATTTTACTCATTGGATCAATAATAGCGATATTATACTACTTGTTTTTCCATAAGAATAAGCAAGAATATAAAAGTAAGTAGAAAATTTCCTATTGCACTTAATGGATAAATATTCTTTAATTGTTTTAATCATATAACAAGCAAACAAACAAACAAACACATTTTTGTCAGGTTTGAATTTGTATTGCTGAATATATTCGTGCTTTTAAAGGCGATAACACTGTTTCAGATAGATAGGTTGATAGAGAGACAGAGACAGACAAACAGAGAAACAGAAGCAAATATATTCAGACTTTGAACCTAACAGTATGGCAATATTACAATATAATATATACAATACATATGTACTAAGCCTATGTTTATATATCCATTTTGTTACAAACAATGGCAAAGGAATCTTTTTAATGAGAAAACTTTGTGTGCTTTGTTCTATAGGACCAACTATTTTGAAGCCACCTGTCGGATTGATATGGAATTCTAAATGTATGGTTAAAAATCCAGAATCGTCTTCGGAAATTATGAAAATTGTCGATAGTAAATTACCGTGGGATTATTTCCCTTTCAACTTATTTATTTTCCATTTTGATAATGGCAAAGATTGTTGGCCAAATTCCAAAGAGAACGTCACTATTTCAAAAGTACGTTATAAAACTAATAAGTACGGAGTCTATATATCAAATATTTGCAATATAACATCCAAAGAATTGAGTACTGTTAGTAAGAAGATGTTGAAGAAACTTGAATACATCAGATTTGGCTATCAGACGCAAGTTTGCGGTGAAAAATTCGACGACGATTTCATTAGAAGTTTAAAGGACGGATCATCAACAAGCGTAAAGAACATTCTACATTTTCCCTATAAATTCAACATAGGAGAGGCAAAATTAACTGCAGATATACTAACTATATCTCCACCTTTTATAAAGGAATACGTATCTGCAATAGTCGATAATTATCTATTAGATTATAAAGGGATCTTCCGTTCCGGATTCTTTCCCTACGCAACTTCGCTAGAATTGAATAACCAATTCCAATTCGTTATGTATTGCCTAATGAAATCTCCTATTTTCGTAGATTATACCCTACATAATTTCTATTCAAAGAAAACTATACAAACATTTTCCCAAGAGATTCTAAACAAACATAAATCGTTAATCGACTTTCATCAAAGTGAAAAAACATGGCCGATTTCCTTAAAAGTTTGTAATAGACATAAAAGTTTCTCATTTCACTTTTTTCATCTCTATTTTTGTAAATTGAATATTCAAACGAAAATCAAAAACTACTTTTATGTCTATTATTTATCATTGAAAACAAAAGGCGGGATCCTATATCAAAGATAAGAAATCTCATTCTAGACGCTTTCAAGTTTTCTCAAAACCCAACAGCAACGCTGGCGTTGACAATGGAATACAAAGTTTTTGGAGATCTCAACGTCTTCAGCAGAATTCCAATGAATTTCGTTTGATATTCACCAACTCATCGGATAAAGATAGTTGGCTGTCTCTGTGTCTAACTGCCCGCGGACAGACGTTAAGGATTAAAGAATGCGATAATTCGTAAGTAAATCTATTTGAATACTGGATAAAAGATTTGCAGTTTGATTGTTATGTAATAGGGCAAAAGGAGGGCAAGGCGAACAAAGTCAAACGTTCATTTATTCAAAGAAAACCAAACAACTTATGAATAAAAAGTCGAAAAGTTACGTTTGCCTACCGAATTATCCATATTCACCTGTAAGATTCGAGTCGATAGCTCAGCAAGATTGTTCGCTTCGTATTCAGATGAAATTGAACAAAAACGGCAATTATCTATTGCACAATGACCATAATTTATACATGGGCGTTGGTCTATACGACCTGTACGAAGTTTATACAAGGATTGACGCCACCCAACACCTTTACGCCTTTATAAACTTTCATCCGTCCAATTCGGAAACGAGAGACTTGTCTGCAAAAACGATAAGAGGACTGCATCAATTATATAATTATAACTTTAAATGTACGGATTCATCAAGATCGCCGACCACTAAGGAGTTTCTAATCGGTGACAAAATCAAGATAGAGGCGAAAACAGTTCACTATTGTTTTATAAAGGAACTTGCGGAAGATTACGATCAATATGAATATGCATGAGTTCGCTGAAATCCGAGAGAAACAATTAACAATTTATTAGAAATAGACGAGCAATTAAAAAGGAGTTAAATATCGTTCAAAGGAGAGAAAGAGAGAAATAGTTATAAAACTGTGTGCTTTTCTCTACCCTTTTTTCTTTTTTTCTCTCTTTTCTCTCTTCTTTTTGATTAAACTTTTTCGTAACATCAAAAGATAAAGAATGATAAAATGATAGTTTAAACTTACTCAAACGACAATCATTTTTATCTAAAAGGAAAATCAAGTAACGCCTCTCTCCTTTAAAGAAAAAACTTTGTATATATATACAGTATATATATAGATATAGAGTAGTATCTTTATAGTTTTGGCGTCTATCTTGTGCGCGCGTTAGCATATATTGTCTAAAGCTGAATGCGTCTGTGCACGTATTAACATATACGTACATGTATAGAACATTGGCAAATACTTGTACAAGTGAATCTCGGTAATACTCGACAGAGCTTTTAAGGAAAAGTCAAAAAAAGAAATTGCTAATCCTAACCTAACTCAAATCCAAAAGTTAATCAACAATTATGGCTTTTAATTCGACGAGACGAAACTTTACCTTACCAAAGTTTGACTGGGAAGCTTGGTTTGAAAAGTATGTACCCAAGTTCCATCACGCAAAAACGATGGTAATAATTGTTTCAACCGTCTGTTTGTCACTATTAATAATTGGATTCTTTGGAAATATCATTAGTTGTATAATCTTTAGTAAAAAGAGTTTAAACCGTTCAACAACTTCGGTATTCCTACGTTTCTTGGCAATAATCGATTCAATTTGTTTACTGTTCAACTGCGTTCTATGGAAAATAAGATTGTTTATGGGTTTTTTCAATCTTTCTGATAAAACTATTCAAATGTTCATATGCGCATTCACCTATCACGGATCGTTCGCCTTTAATCAACAGAGTTCGTGGATAATTGTAGCCATGACCGTTGATAGGAGTGTTCATATTTTCTTTCCGACAAAGGCGCAAGTTTTATGTACGAAATTCAGAGCGTTCATGTTCTGTTCCTTTATCATAGTGGTAACTTTAGTATTCTATCATCCTTACTATTATCTGTATAAGGAGGGAGCGTATATCTCCATAGACCCAAAGGATAAATATTCGATTGTAATGAGTTGTAATACGATCTCCGAGTCGGCTTCCTATTACTTGAAAGATATACTGTTCCCCTTGGATAGTATCATGTATTCAGTCGTACCATCGGTTATACTGATAGTTATAAATATATTAATGATTCGTCACGTCTACAAGTCGACGAGGAGAAGAAAAGAGATGACTCAAGGAAAAACTGACAAGGCAACGAGTAAGAAAACACTGCAAATGACTATAACCCTTATGTGTATAAGTTTCTATTTTTTCCTAACTACATTTCCAATATCCTTGAACGTTCTTATATTCCATTTTAGAAGAACTACGACTCTAAGGGAATATATCAAGTATTTATCTTATACAAGATACTTTAACCTTTTCGCCTATACTAATAATGCGGCTAATTTCTTTATATACTGCCTTTCCGGCTCAAAGTTCAGATCAGAATTTATAAAGTTATTTCGTAAGAAGGCGAAGGGAAGGGAAGGATCGAAAAGTCTGTCGACTTCGAATGGCTCGTCGTTTAAAGGCCAATCGCGTTATTGAAAGAATGGGGGGAGGAAGATGAGAGATGGCGGATAAGAGACGACCGATAAAGAACGGCGAATTGTATTTTCTTTTCAAGAAAGAAGGCAACATTTTCCACCTTCTTTCCTCTTGTCAGTATGTCGTTTGTTTGCTTGTCAATTAAATACTGTTAAGACTAAGTATATCACTAAACACATATTCTAATATATAATCACACATTGCGACTTGATTCACGTTATCCGTCTTATTTCTTTGATATACAGTATATACTCTATAAACTCGTGTGCAAAAATTGACCTATTATTCTTCATCATATCTTTCAATGGAGTGTCATACTTTCCCTTATCCTTTCATTTATTTTCCCATACGTAGGGTTTGGAAGGTGTATATTCAGATTAATATTCACCCTCCTCCTCATTTAGTTACACCGTGTACAAGATATAAGGCTGTATGTACATTAATTTCAATATACAAGCCAATATAAGCCACGCCCATCAAAAAAGGATAAGTAATGCTTCATATTTAAATTATTATAATACATACGTAAGACAAGGAAAGAGAGAAGGGGCTTGGAGGGCGGAGAGGAAAAAAAACAGGGATAGAGAGAAGGAAATAACAAAAAAAGTGCGAATGAAAGTAGAAACAATGAAAAAAAGTTTCGGGTTTAATATTCACATTTAGTAATCTATGTAGACTTTAGCTTTTATCTATTTCGATCAGATTAAATATCCTTTTTTTTTTGTTTCTCACGCTTCTCCCCTTTGTATAGTTTCTATAAAAAGTCATAGGGCTGTTGTTTAGCAATGCTATGTAACTTTCTCTGTCATTTTCTCCTTCCTAATAAAATGTTCACTTTACTGGCTGTAGAGCGGTAAGAACGAAATATAGTTAACAACGACTTACACACCAGAGGGCATTAAACATAACATTTAAATATGGCAGAGTAGAGTTTGTGATTGAGTAAATAGTATAAATTAGACAGCGAAGAGTTAATGAATAATATGAAGAATGGTATTAATTATAGTTTGTAGGAAAATGAATGGGAAGAAGAAGAAGAAGAAGAAGAATAGGGGAAGAAGAGAAAAATGAATTTTTCAAGTAAACAAAATAAATCTGTATTTATCGTTAGTCAATGAAGATAAAGCAACGAAAACAAACTAGCGTTAATTTCATATTTCTTACCGTCTAGAGTTTTATTTCTATATAATAATATACTAATAAGGGTTAGATTGAAATTTATAGACCATGTTTGTTGAGTAAATCAACATATATATATATATATAAATATCTAAGACGTGTGAATGCATGTTGTATATATATATATATATATATATATATAGTGTATATTCATATTTATGTCCTCAGAGAGAGAGAGAGAAAAAAAAAGAAAGGGGGAGAGAGAGAGAGTCGATATGCATAAAAAAAAATGACAAGATAATAATTAAGTCTAGAAGTAAAAATTAACAAGAGCTGAGAGACTGAAGCCGAATAGGACGCATAAAATTTTCATAAGGTCGTCATTATCACCAATAGCCTTGTGTAAAATTTCAAAAAAGCTGACAAACAGAAAAGTTCCTGTTGAAAGTCCCTGAAGAACTGCGCTCACCAAATTTAAACTGGAACTTGGCTTTGCCTTATTTCCTAAAAAGGTAATTACTGTACCAACTGCTATACCAACTGGTGTCATAATAGAAAAAGCTGCTATTAGCGTTACTATCCTTCTAGTATCGTTTGAAAATTGCTTGGTGAACTGAACGCCTAATGAGAATATTATTATAGATTTATGTAATAGGATAGCTATAGTCAAACTCCACATTTGACCTTTTTTATTTTGAAGACCAACAGCCAAACCTTCAAAAATCATGTGTAAACTCAAGGCCAAAAGTAAAACAACAGCTCTCATCCCACTCTGCATCGAAGACGTAGAAGGTGAAGGAGGAGAAGAAGGAGGAGGGGAAGGAGGAGGGGGAGCAATAGGAGGGGAATGAGAAGGGTGATGATCATGACAATGATGATGGGCATAGGTTTGAGAATGAGGAGGATGAGAATTAGATAAAAGAGAGGAATTATGGTCGGATTGCTGTCCTTCAGCTAGGTTAACTTCAGTCCTTATCTCTGCTTTCACATTTTCATAAGAGGCCTAAAAAAAGTGAAAAATATGAAACACGTGCAATATTCAAAAGAGAACATCATATCAGTTAATAATCGATTAGTATCTATCGGTTAAAATTTGCTATTTTTGTATTACGTTGAATAAAATTACAGCGTACCTGACAATCCTTTAACAAAGGAGAATGCTCTCCACTTTCTGAGGGAAATAAATTTTTTGCAATTACCCATCTTCGTTGACAAACAACCGCTAAATTTTCAAGGATTAGCACTAGCAGAAAGCCAATAGCCGTTAAGAATTCAGCCAAAGGATAATCAATTGTCAATCCATTAGCTTTTTCGAAGATGGCTAGTTGTTCATTAACTTCCGGTAAGAGGTGGAGAAGTAGCGTTCCTAAAAATATCCCACCAGCAAAGCAGTTTAAATAATCTATAATATTTTTAGAAGTTTCGTCTTTTATCCTTTTGTTCTTGAGCATAGTTAATGGTTTTAGGGGAAGAAGACCCATGACAAACGATATAATAGAGATAAGTGAGAGGGAGAATATTTTTAGAATCCATAATTCCATTGTTTATTCTTTTAGAAGATGATTGTATAAGAGACAATTCAAAAAGCTTACTGAAAATAAATAAAGCCAAGTTAGAAGCAGTAAAGACTGAAATGTGATTCACTTGTTATCCTCATGCTTACAATAGGTGAACTTTGATCTTATCTGATAAGTTCATAATGTGAAAACTCTTACGAAAATCATAAAAAAGTACGAATATATTTATAGTATATAGTATGTATACAGTATATATATATTTATTTATTCATCTATCAATCTATCTATCTATCTATCTATCTATCTATCTATCTACCCAACCATCCATCCATTCTTATACATATATATAGATATATTTATATATATTTATATATGTGTATCTGTCTATCTCTCTATCCAGCTAGCCAGCCAACCAGATAACTATCTAATCCTTTCTCTTTCTTCTCCTCTCATCCTCCAGTCTCACCTCTTCCTTTCTCACTATATTATTTACTCTTTGCCTATTTATGCCGTATCTTTCTCCTCACCCCACTCCTTGATATCTTTCTTTTTTATTTACTATCCACAACTCTCATACACCCAAGCCTATCTCTCCTTCTTTCAGCTCTTTACCGTTCTATGCTCTATTAGAAATCTCTTCTTTCCTATTATGCACGTGTCAATATAAAGGTCAGACTTGGCTGTTTTTTTTCTTTATTCAACCCTCTACTAATTAGAATTCTAGCAGTTTCTTGAGCGCAATCAATATTAAGAGCAATTAAGCCTATTTTCTTTTTTTATTATTATCGGCCTTGAAAATGTTTTGACTATCAAACTTTAAGACACAAAAAAGAAAGAAATCGTTATGTTACATGAGCACGTTAACACCAGTGTACAGATCTTGTAAAATTATTAAAAAAAACGCGTCACTCATAGTTAGATCGTGATTGAACAGAACGTCTAATAGACGCCTTCTCCCCTATTTTTCGCTTCAAATTACGGTTTTGATGGATGTTAGGAAAAGAGTCTTTAGGGGTGTGTGAATATTGAGAAAAGGTGGTGAAGGCGGGATTTGGTGACTTTCCTTTATAAATCTTAATAAAATACGTAAAGCTAGAGAAATGGATAGATAGATGAGTGCAGAGATGAGTATAAGGAAGGAAGAGGGAAGAGGGAAAAAGAAGAACAAGAAGTAGAACAAGAAGAAAAAGATACGATGGGACAGTGTGGTCGACAAATATATTAATATAAATGACAAATATAACCCTATATATATATATATATGTATAAATATAGTATATACTTTCTTTACATTAAGAAAAGTAGAAAGTGTGAGAAAGAAACAAGGAAAGTAAATTATTAAAAAAAAAAATCGAAGCTACCAACAGATGTCGTCTAGGTAGCGAAAAGGGAAGAGATTAGACAAATCACTTTTTGCGGCGAGAGCGAGCATCGCGATGTGTTTGCTACGTCAATAAACAGAACAATGGCTGACAAAAAATGATGTAGAAAGCACCTGTGCATTTTTCATCTCTGTGGCAACGCTTTCTGATATTTGTTTCTATGGCAACGAAAAATATTATATAAATATATATATATATATATATATTTATATATATATATGTATATATATATATACATCTATATATGAATATATACTAGTATATTTATATATAGAGATACAGTTATATATATATTTATATATATATAGATATATATATACAGTATACTGTATATATATGTATAAGTATACATATTTATATATGTATATATATGCGTATATACATGTGTATTGAAACTAGAACAAAAGCGGATTGGGTATGACACTGGTAACCACTAAAAATGATAAGATAAAAGACGATAGAGCAGCTGTAGACGGTGTTCTTTTATCTCGAATTCAACTGTTGGTAATAAGCAACGGAGGTCCTGGTAAGAAACTTAATATTTATCAATATATAAATATATACTGTATATATACAGCCGCGGTCATAAATATCTATACATGAAAAAAAAAATTTTTTTTTTCTAGAAAATAATTTTTTTTTGGATTTCTTCAACAAAATTGTTTGTTCTTTTTTTAAATATTTGTTGAAGAATATGTTATAAACCAGAAAATGGATTTAGTTTACTGAAAAAAATATTCTTATATAAAAAAAAGAATGTTTTTTAATTCTATGTTTATTTATCATTAAAAATAGTCCCAAAAAAAATGGCCAAAAATATTTATATAAATTTAATTACATAGTTTGTCAAGGTTTTTTTTCTAAATTTTTGCGTTTTGTCTCAGTCTAAAAACTACTTTTTAATTCTGTTTCCTTTATTGATAATAACTTGCCAAACTCTCTCCCCGATTCCTCTATATAAATTTTTCACAAAATCTCTATTGCTTGTATTGATTTTGTCCACCTCTTCCTGTATCCTGTCCCATAAATGGTCAAGGGTTTTTGGTGTTTGAATTTCATACACTTTAATTTTTAAATAACCCCACAAATTCTCTATGGGGTTGAGGTCTGGAGAGTATGGAGGCCAATCAAGGACTTGAATTCCATTCTCCTCCAGGATATCCATTGTTACTCTGGCAGTGTGTGGGGGTGCATTATCCTGCTGAAAGGTGAAGTTTTCTCCAAATTTTTCCTTCAAAATTGGGAAAACTGTTCCCTGAAGAAATTCGGCATAAATCTCTCCAGAGATGTTGGAGGGAAGTCTTTGGATAAAAACTTCACCATCTGAGGATATACACCCCCACACCATCACTCCTCCTCCACCAACTGGAAGCTTATCTCTAAAGAGCCTTGGCCTGTCATTGAGCTGCCAGGTTAACAGATGATTGGGACCATCCAGCGAAAACCTGGACTCATCTGTGAAGACCACATTTTTATATTCAACTTGGCTCTGAATCCATCCACCCAGTATATTTAATCGTGTGGTTTTTGCTCTTGCTGACAAAGGGCATACCTTCAAAATGGGCAGATACTTTGCTCCATTTTTATTTAGAATCCTTCTAATGGTTCTTTCAGAAAGATCCAGGCTTAAGTTATCCTTAATTTTTTTAGCAGTTGCCAACTCTCTTTTTTCCTGTAATCTTATGCATTCTCTTTTAATTAGTGACTTCAGTCTTTCACTGGCTTTGGATGGTCTTCCCCTTTTGTCAGGTTTTCCTGCTCTTTTGTTCTCACAGATATACAGGAGTGAAGGTTTTGGGATATTTAAGTCTGCCTCAAGTTCTTTATAGGTCATTTCAGCTTTTTTCGCCCTTGCTAGCTCTCTAATTTGAGAATGATATTTCATTTTGACAAAGAAATGTAAGTAATTATCTGCTGAGTCAGATTTGTTCTAAATTCAAATGTTCTAAAAACTATTTAGACAAAAAACATGTTTTTATAGATATTTATGGCCATTTTTAAATTATATAATTTAATTGCAAAAAGCACTTGTTGTCTAAAATTAAAAAAAAAAAGTACTTTTAAAAGCTGAAAAAAACAAATGTTGTATGAAATTACATAAAATACCCTTTAAACAACATCATTCTATTTAAGAAAAATAATTTTATTTCTCAAAATTAGAGAAAAATGAGTTTTTAAAAAAAATATTTTCTTTTTTTTCATGTATAAACATTTTTGACCGCGGCTGTATATATATATATAAAATCCTATATATATATATGTATACTTATGTACAGTATACATATATAAAATAGACTGCCTTTCACCACTATTTGCACAATTATCGTTATTATTGGTAGGAAAATGTTTCCACTTTTGCGCTTTTTATTGTTTACGTGACTCTTTACGAAGCGGCGAAACGCCTATAAACAATAGGTAAAAGTCGCGGAATAAAAGTAAGAATATTACCGAATAGACGACAGGAGAGGAGAAAAGGGGAGAAGAGAAAAGAGGAAAGAAGAGATTGCATTAGCGTTCTTCGTAAATGAAATAACGTCTCATCTCTATATTTTTATTATAGTCTTAAATGTTAAATTGGAGAGTAGCAAGTATCAGCAACAACTATAATAATAGCGCAATCATCATTATCACGTACGTCATCAGTAAAGTAGCATGATCTTTCAACAAGCTACTAGTAGTTTTAATGCTAATCTTCATAAAGAGAATGAGTTATAACACAGTTTTATTATAATATTAAATAGACAATGTAATGTTTTCTAACAATTTCTATCACGCACTTTAAAAACGAAACTAATAATGCTTCGGTTCCTGTTCCACCTCCGCCCTTCCTTCCCCTTTTCCGTCTCGCTCGTTTCCTATTATCTCCTATAATTCTTGCAATTCCTATTCGCAGAATTTGGATTGGAGAGGCACAAATTATGGAACGATTGCCTACCTGAATTGCAGCAATTTTGTTTGCCATTGAACATTGAAGTAGAAATAAGCGATATAAATTTTGGTTTAAGTAAAGATTTGTCGAATTATCCTCAACTTTTGAATGATTTTATCGAAGAAATATTAAAGGTCGAAAGCTCATCCTGCCTGAAAGTTTGTCTGGTAAATTAATTATACTTTTATTGAAGCATAATTCTGCACTGAATTAGTTGTACTCATTAATGTCGAAAAAGATGTATGTAAATACTATTTTACAGATATTATTGGGTGATAAATACGGTTGTGGTGCTTTACCGCTTACAATTTCCAACGAATTATTTCAAGGTGTTTGCAACGAATTAACGAATAATATAAATGGTTTGTATTCGAATTATTTCCCTCTCTCTCTCTCTCTTTCTCTCTATACACTTCCTCCCTTCCCTTACCTTACTTACCCGCCTACCCTCTGTTAAATTTCGCGTCATTCCCTCTCCCATCGCAAACTTCTTTTATATATTTTTACTGTCTCCCTAATCGAATTAATTACGTTTACAGATACAAACTTTCTAAAGGACTGCTATATACGAAGTGAACTATCCAATTCCGTAAATTACAGACTGAGAAAGCGAGTAGAAAGATGGCGAAACCCTACAGGGTGAGGGATAAAAAATTAATTAAAATCTTTTTTCCCACTGTACACTATGACAGAATAGGCGAAATAGACATAATACTAAATGAGACAGTATATGACTACATGTTTATATATATTTTATAAGGTTAGAGATAAATAAACACGCCAACGCCGAAGCATATGCATAGACAAATAGTCACTGAGGTAAAAAATATTACGTTTGTTTTTACAGCCTAGTGCAAGCGTCTATGGAGACGCTGTTCTTCTTTTTTTTGTTCATTTATTAACGTGAATATAAACAGTAGATAAAAATAGTTATACTATATTTAGGAACCTACTAAAGGAGGAAAGAAAGAAAAAAAGCAGTTCCCATTTCTTTTGATGATTCTTTTTTTGTACCAAAATCTTTGTTTATAGTCGATTTTCATTGCATTGATTGGAAGCAGGCAAGGATCAAGTTTATATTTTAATGATAGTGTATTATATACAATATATACAGTATATAGTATAAATGCAGTATCTACGTCCAAAAACACGAAACTAACGTGATTAGTAACAAAAATAGGCAAGTTTCCAATTAAGCATCCTATCGACAATTAATTACAACGTGATATTTTGCTTTGCTTCCATAATATTAATAATTATTCAATGCATAAATATACAAAAAAATAACGCATTATTCCCTATTCATTCTGGGAAAATACAAGGAAAAGAGAATAGTAGCTTCAATACCAAATACACAATATACAATGCATATAAATTTACTAAGTAACTAAGAGAAAAGAGAAAAAACCAAGGGAAAAAAACATGAAAGAACGCAAGAGGAAGGGAGCGATATGAAAACCTACCCAGGGTAGGTAATGTTGTTTAGGTGGGGAGTTAAGAAGGGGAGAAGAATAGAAAAGAGGAAAAGTGAAAGAGAGAAAGCAAGAAAGTAAGAATGAGTGAATGAATAAACGACTATGTATAATAAGAATAGAGGAGGAGGGGCATAAAATAAAGAGGGAAGAAAGAAAAGCTAAATAAAGCAAAGAAAAGCCAATACACTAATATGTATTATATATATATATATACTGTATATTGTATATAACAACCAATATGTTTATATATGGACATATATAGGTTGATGTGGTGCTAATTCTCATATTTGGATGAAGTACATGCATTTTTAATTCATACCGTACCCAAAGCTAACCGTACAATTATTTCCCACGCTCAGTCACTCAGTCACCTGCTTATGCATACAGATATACTAATATATATATATAGAAACAGTATATAGAAACACAAATGTACTCCAAGGTATTACCTAACGTAATTAATGCCTCTTTTAGTTTCACTCACTTTCCTCTCTCCTCTCTAACAATTGTCTAGGATGGAGAGAGAGAGAGAGAGAGAGAAATAGCAATGCTATTTATTTCCTTTATAGAATAGGCAATTCTGAGAAATCGTATGAAAACTGGCAAGAGGAGGAATCTAAATTAAGACGTTTATTTACAAGCCATAAAGGCGACCAACTCAACAAACATCTGATAAAATCTTGTAAGTATACCATATATATTACACTCTATGTCAAAATCAAACCTTTAAACGACAAGACATATTTTTCCTCATGCATTAATGCATACACTGTACACAGTGCCTAATCGATTGGCATTACACCTTCATAATTTTCTTCAGGTATAGAAAAACAGGTGAAAGCCGCCTTCCGCAATGACAACTGCAACCTAATAGCCGTGAGCAGAGTGCTTGAAAGTAAGCTTTGAATTTTCTTTTATCGTTGTTTTCAAGTTCTTCCTCTCTGTCTTTCTCTTTTACTCTCCCTCTCTCTTTTTACTGTTCGTATTATCATTGCAACTATTTCAAGTCTTGGCGCATGCGCCTTTAAAACGAACTAAACCTCTTCTATTTACTCTGGCAATGACTATTTTAAAAGTTATGATGTTCTGTATATACAAATAGTATAAATACGTGTCTAGGTATGTATGTATGTATGTATGTATGTATGTATGTATGTTTGTTTGTTTATGCTATGGTAAGTAAGTAAGTGAGTGAGTGAGTGAGTGAGTGAGTGAATGAATGAGCGAGGGAGCGAGTGTACGTCGGCATATACTCTTATTATACAGTATGTTTATATTATGCTGTAACTCGTCTTTGATTTCTTTTTCTTTTCATTTCCTCTTGTTCTTTATCCCTCAACCTCAAATGCTCTTTCTCACATTATTCTCTATCATCTTCCTAATACAGACATAGACATTAACGATACTCAGGCCTATAACTACACGGATTTGGACGGAAAATCGATTTGTCCTCAAAAGTCGCAACTTTTAAAAGATTTAAAAGCGTCTGTTAAGAATAAAGTGAAGCAACATTATTACCACGAATTCTATATAAACTGGGAAAGGAATGCTATCGATTGCGAAGAGTTTAAACAGCATTCAGATTATCTCGCTAATTTTAACGCTTTCGTCGTTACTAGAGTTAGAAAGTTGATAGACAGATTTACGAAACATAGGCCTACTTTGCCAAAAAGAATATGCAATCACGATACAGTAAAAGTTCTTCAATTAGAAAGCGATTTTCTAGCCAACGTTACGCAATATCGAAATTTAACTTATGAGCAAAAGTTTACTGATGGCAACTTGGGGAAGAGTCTATCGTCGAAATTGGAAAATACGTGTTGGCTTATAGAGGAGGAAATAGATTCCGGCAAAAGCGCTCTACTAGCCAGTATCTATTATGAATATTACAAAGATTCAATTGTTCTCGGGCAATTTATCAACGAACATTTTAGGCCTAGTCCTGCTGCTTTAAAGAGAAATTTCGAGTTGCTGTTGGGATGGAAGTTGAAAGAGAACTATCGTCTAGATATTCAAAGTTTACTGATAAAAGCGTCGGAAAAGTCAAAGAATGTTATCTTGCTGATCGATAATCTGCATTTAGTCTCTTCTCAAACAGATAGTAATCATGATTTTGAATGGATATTTCAAAAGTTACCAAGTTCCGTTCATATAGTGTGCTCAATATCACCGAATGCCTTAAATTTGAATGGTAAATTGTTCAAACGTTACTCTATCAATTTCTCAACAGAAAACGCCATTCAATATATAAAAAATACATTATCCAACCAAAACCGAGAGTTGACTATAGAAGAGGACTTTTTACTGCAAAAGATCCTTAAAGAAGATGGAACCTGGTTCCTGGTTCAACTTTTACAACATTCTTTATCCAACGAAATAAATCGGTGAGGTTTTTATTCATTAAGTTTGTAGATAGAACGAAAGGTTAATTATCGTCTCTCTCTCTCTCTCTCTCTGTCTCTCTCTCTCTTGTAGCCTTCGAGAAAAAGATGACGACGCCGAAGAGACGTTTACGACGTTCTACGTAAAAGAATTGCTAAAATTCGTAGAAGAACAACTCGGCGAAGATCTTTTGGGCTTAATAATCCAAACTATAACCGCTTCGGCCGTTGGCATAACCGAAGTTGAAATACTCGATGTCCTATCGATAAATAACGATGCTGTACTGTTGGCCGTACCTGCGAATGAATTATCAAATTTACTGAGATTTCCTTTTTCCGTATGGCTTTACGCTAGAAAATACTTGAAACCTCTTTTTTCAACCTATCACTTTAAGGGAAGAGAATTATGGAAATGGAGGAATGAGGATGTTAGAAAGAGCTTAAAATCATTATACTTTAAAACGGCTGAATCGTTTAAAAATACTCACAAATGCTTAGCCGACTACTTTAGCAATAAATGGATTAATCATAAACCTTTGGTAGTCCCCGAAAGGTCTATTCAAATTATTGAACCTTACTCTTGTTGCAGATATTTAACTCCTCATCCTTTACTCTATTCCGAATATTTATACAATTATAGACGTATTACAGAATTAGGCCAACATTTTCTGCACAGCGTCGATATTGAGACGGTTAAATGCAACATATATTTTAACCTGGAAAGTCTTATTTCATTAATACAAGCTCTGGGCGTTCATTTTCTTTTAGAAGAAATTGACCTTGTATTGAGACATTTCTTCGATACGGAACTCCATGTACTTAGAGATACAATTATTGCTTGCCATAAAATCTTAGAGGAAGATACTTTGCAATTACCTGTTGAAATAATAGGCCGATTAAGGAATATCGAATTCGGAAAGGACTTTCCCAACATCTCAGATCTTATGCTTCAGTGCGTTCAGTGGTGTGATTCGAATACGAAACCTTTGCTAGTTCCGCTTTCATCGTGGTTGCCAGATCCTAGGCAGAAAACTTTAATTACGTTAAATATTCCATCGACGAAGGCAATTATTACTGGAGAAACTCAATTTCTGACCATTTCAACTAAAGAGAATATTATAAAAATGTATCATATAGCCTCTAAACAACTTATTCGTTCCTCTTTTCCTTTAAAGTCAAGCGTTATCTTTCTACTCGATTGTAAAGATGACAGAATCGCCGTCTCTACCGCCGACGGAAGCGTTATAATATGGAATTTAATTAACGGCAAATTTGACGGTTTTCTTAAGCAATCGTCTCCAATAAGAGCCAACGTATTGGCTAACGTTGGCGATAACTTACTATTGGGTAATAGTGACGGTTCTATGGATAGTTTTAACTTGAATACTCTTGAAGTTGTTGACAAGTTAAAACATCATAGTGACGCCATAACCGGATTACGAGTAAGTAAGGATGGAGAATATACAGTTTGCAGTAAGTCTATAATATGTTTACTCTGTATGGAATAAGTAACTTTTAAATGCTCTTTTTTTTTTAACCGTCTCTTAGCATCCAGAGATAAAACTGTCAAATGTTTATCTTCCGATAACTTGGCCGTAATCATGGAAATATCCGATGAGAATTTAAATCAGCCTATTATTTTGATGTCCATAAGTAGCAATAATCTCTTTCTAGTACTTTGTAAGTTTAATACGTATTGTATACTTTCTCTTGTCTTTTTGTTATTTTTTTCCTTTTTTGATGTTATCCCTTTCTTTATCTTGCTTTCATCTATCTTTAGCTTATTCTGAGTATAGGAAGATTATAAGGATGAGAAACATGCTGTATATGTATAGGTGTATATATATAGCGGTTAAAGCCATTTTTCATGTTTCCATTTGTATCTAAGGTCACTTTCAAGGGTAATCCCTCTTATTTTTTATTGAAAGATTTAGGTAGACCGCAGGAAATTTCGTCCACTTTCATGAAGTTAAAGAATTCCAATAGGAAGCGGGTATTCTCCTTATTAATTCTCCTTTATGCATACAGTGTTTAGTTATAATAAGTACTAATATTCCAATTTTAATAGGCATTCTCTCCAATGCCAGTCCATTTCTCTGTTTAGCGAGGATTTATATACGAGACATTAAATTATATTTTCAGTATTTTGCTGATGAGTGCACCTCCATAAATCTTCTTTTCTCGCTGGAAGCGCAATTGTTTATCATAATTTTTTTCGGTAGTCGTTATCTCTTCTACTAGACAATGTTGTCAAATTGCTTTGATAAGAAATAATAGCGATTACTTTTGAAAGTGCATTCGGGTATGAAGAAGAGTACGCTAGTATATGCGCTCTTCTCCCTCTTTTCCATCTTCCTTCCGTTCTTCCTTTCATATTTTCCTTTCTCGTATAATTCTTAACATTATTCTGTATATTCCCTATTTTTTCTTCATATTAGATTTAGAAGACGGTACAGTACAAATAAGATCCTTGGTTACTGGCACTTTTATACACAACCTTCAGAATCCTTTACCAAAATTAACTAGTTTAGCAGTGTGTTCGGAGGGTATCTTTCTCTCTTGTGCAACGGAAAATCATATGGTTCATTTATTTAATATAAGATCGACAGAACTCTTGGAATCTAATAAGGTGGAATCCAGAGTTCATACAACGTTTCTATTTCCTAATGATTTTGTATTGATGAATGCTGGAGCGGATTCTATAGAATTTTCTACTCTATTAAAGAGAGAGAATGCTCAAACGGAAAAAGATAGGCATAGGAACGTCGTTAATTGCGTTACCGTTTCGAGAGACGGTAAAATGGCAGTTTCCGGGTCTAAAGACACAACTTTAAGAGTTTGGTCAGTTGATTCAGGAAGTCTAACAGATATTTTAGAAGGTCATTCGGGCCAAGTTACTTGCGTCGCCATCGCTAACGAAAACGCGTTTATAGCTTCGGGTTCGGCTGATAGAACAGTGAAAATCTGGAGTATAGTATTGGCGGAGGTGGTGACCAATTACGAACAGCATAATTCAACTGTTACTTGCGTTAATGTTTTGGCGGACAATATGAGGATTCTTTCGGCGGAGGAGGAAGGTAAAGCTCTATTGTGGAATGCGGAAGATGGTAGTACGTTGCTATCATGTTCCTGCCATACAAATCTGCTGGCAGTTTCTCCAATATCAAAGCTGGTATTCGCAGGTGATGGTGGTTGTACGGCAAAATTATGGCTTTTGAATACTGGAGACGTCGTAGGAACGCTAACCCATACGGACAAAATAACATGCGTTGGATTTTCACCAGATAACGAATACATAGTTACTGGCTCAATGGATAATAGCTTAAAAATATGGTTAGCCTCCAGCGCTAAATTAACGCAAGTTCTCGTAGAGCATGAAACCCACGTAACTGCCGTCTCCGTTTGCTCCAAGACAGTTGTATCGGGCGACAAAGATGGTCTAGTTCTACTATGGGATATTGAATTCGGTAACGTGAAACAAAGAATGATGGGTCATACGGCTAGTATAGAAAGGGTTCTAACAGCGTCCGACTCGTCCATAATATTTACAACTGACTTTGCGGGCGAGATAAGGGTATGGATGTCTAAAACTGCAAAATTATTAGCAAGAATCGATCTTCATTACCCAATTGAAAATATAGTAATTAGTGTGAGTGCGTCTCACCTTGTTGCGAGAATAACAAATTCGATTCATGTACCGTTGCTTTGTTTACATAATTCCCCTGCAAAAGTTCTACCAAGGGCGGCTATCGAACTTGGCTCGACAAATAGCCTTCACGTAAATCCGGATATGTTACAGAATCAAATTTCAGGTTTAAACCTTTCCAGAGAAGTCTCTACCGAAATTGAGAATAACGACGAAAAATTACCGCTCCCCTTTAAATGGCATCAGAAAAGGGAATTGTCGGAATTTCCCGTTCCCTCAACGATTTTGGCCGAGAGGCAGGTAAAAAGTGACATATATTACGACGAAGAAGAGCCTGGTTCTAGTAGCGGTGGCCTAGGATCAACAACATCAACCACAATAGCTCCCTTACAAAAAGTTGTTGCCGCTCAACAACAGCACAAAGTACAAAAATCTCTACCAAGAGAGAAAAAAGAAAATAATAAAAAGAAAAAAGAGAAGAAATCTTCAATTTGCTGCACATTATAATTTACATAAATAAATGAAGAAGATGGAGAGAAGAAAGAGAACAAACAGAGAAAAGAAAAGGGAAGAAACATTTATAGAAGAAAATTTCCTTCTCTCTTTCCTTCCTTCCTTTCTTCTTTCTTCTTTAGCTTGGCAAAGCTAAAAAAGAGAACATTGGAAAATCAATTATTTAAATAAATAAATAGAAAAATTGTGTGTGTAATTATTTATATGTGGAAAAGAGTGCTTCTCCAGTTCATTTTCTTTTTTCTCATTCTCTTTCTTCTCTCTCTCTCTCTCTCTTCTTAATAAAAGTTACAAAAGCAAAACAGTTATAGGACAGATTGTAAAAGCTGATTATTGCTGATAATAATCTGATTATTATAAACGCCTATTTAAGTCATTTGGGTGTGTTTATATGTATGTATATATGTGAGCATGTATCAAGAGAGAGAGTGAGAGAGAGAGAGAGAGAGAGAGAGAGAGAGAGGAAAATATATCACAAGTAAATTTTCCTATACTTTTCTCTCTGTTTCTATCCTTTATTTCTCTTAAGTATTAATTCTATTTCCGGTTTATTCATATAAAACGTATAGCTTAAAAACTTATATATGTTATTCTATATACTGCAAAGTAAGCATGTATATTTCAAGGTGTAGTCTAAAAAAAGAAATTGAGAGAATAGAATTAAAAAGAAAATGAAAGGATGGAAAATAGAAAAAAAGATTTTCCTTTTTTTTTCTTTAATAAAAGAACAGAAATTAACCAAAAGGGGTTTGTTGATTTGCTTTTTTCGTAAGGTAAAAGATGACGTCATACAAAGTAGTTTTTAACAAGATTCTTTGTCAGATGAAAAAGCGACTTACACGTCAATAGAAGCGTACTACGCAAGAGTTGACAGAGAGATACATAGATAGATATGAAGCTGGATAGAGAGATAAAAATATAGAAAAATAGAAAGAGAGAGAGAGAGAGACAGAGATAGAGGAAATGGAGAAGTAGATAGAAAAATAGATTGATTGATAGATTGATTGACACAATATATTGATATAAGAAAGTAGAAAAGTTAAAGGTTATGCAGTACATACTATACACATAACAATACATGTCTATAAAGAAAACGAAAACTATGGCAACTTGAAGCATTCTTCTCTCTCTCTCTCTCTCTCTTTCTTTATATTTTGAAATTATTTAGAATGGCGTCATCTCTAATAAGAATAACACATTAACAAATACGTATCATAGATACGAATAATTCCTGTATAATTTCTCCAGTCATTCCCTTATCTCACCTTTATCTTCTTATTGTAGACATAAATATTTTTTTCACGTAAAATTTGGCGTCCAATATCCTTTTGAGGTTTTTTGATTATTATTATTATTATTATTGCTGTTTTTTTTTGTTCTTGTACCCATTTTCTAGGACTAGGTTTAATGATAGGCCTAGTAAAGTATGGTTTTTGTTGTTTATTTTTTGAAATAAACTCGATCTATTTTTATCCTCTCAACATGACTATTTAAAATTGTCTAACTGCTCGTCGCATCTGCTCTCTCTCTCTCTCCACTGCTCTCTGTATGTATGGTTTACATATAAAGAGAGGAGGGAAAGAGTGACATTCAAGCGAGGGAATGCTACTCTTATTTTCAACTTTATTAAATTTAGATAAGGAAGCGATAAAAAAGCTCATATATTTTATAAATTTTATCATAAATGTTGTATTTATTATCTTTTATTAAGAGGATTTATGATCATTCATGAATCAATTAACTAATTGATTAATTAACTAGTAATAAAATGTATGAAAAAACGATTATTCGTATTATTTAACTAGGAAAACTCTGTCTTCTTCTTCACATACTCGTTTCCCTCGAAAAACTGGTCTGATTAGCTCATTTAATACATGAACTATTCTGAATACAAAGTAATAAAGTAATAAATCCTATTGAGAGGTATTTTTACTTTTCCGTCTATCCATTTCTCTTCGTGACAAATCAAATATATCCTACAAATTACTCAAGTAGAATTTACAAGTGTAATAGGCATATAAACAAGTCAACTCGGCTATAAACTAATAATAATAATAATAATAATTCTCTTCTTCTTCTCTGTTACTTTTCTCTTTGAATACAATATTACAACTACATACATTTGATCTGTTACTTTTGAATGTACAGTATAGGGGAAAGAGTAATGTAATGAGGGTAAAAATAAAAAAAAGGGAGGGAGAGGCAAAAAGGGCTAAGGAGAGGTAAAAGCATAAAAAGGGAAAGAGTTAAAAACTAATAAAACTAATAATAAAATATTGTTATAGGTCAGTTGATCAGGGTAGAATTTGAAAAAAGAAAAAAAAAAGTCCATACCTTTCCAGATAATTAATATGTGGGAATATTGAAATATGTCTGTTAAAAATTGTTAAAAATCTGTTACGCATCGTACGTATACGTACTTTTATTCATATTACGTATATAATTATCTATATATATGTATATATATATATATATATATACTGTATTTATAAATTTATTAAATATATTAATTAATTCAATCATTCATTCATTCATCTATTAATTGATCCATTCATAGATTTATTCATTTCTTCTTCCGTTCAATTTATATTTCCTCTTTTCTTGCTTCCTTCCTAAATTACATATTTCTTTTCTTATCTTTCCCTCTCTCTCTCTCTCTCTCTCTCGATTTGACCCATCTAGCTCTTATTTCAGCCAATAAAAACCAAACAAGAAGAAACAAATCTTGTAAAAGTTTTAAATATTCCAGTTTCAACATTTATCGAACGCCAACAAGGCTAACCCTGTAGAATTTAATAGAGCGAAGAGAAATTATTCACTTTCCCTTTTCAATCTCTCCTAATTTCTTCTATTCTCTTTGGTGTTTCTCATCATTCCATCTCTTCAATTCGCCTTTTATCACTGTTCCGTAAAAAGGAACAATAACCGAAACAATATGAAAATAGTTAAACGGAAAGATACTTTTCTCTTTTCCATATTAATTAATATCAAAATCCTGATTGCCCTATTCGTACTTTTCTTTAATTGTCTCTTATATTTTTACCAATTTCTTATTCTGTATAATTGGACACTTAGCAATAATGTTTCTTTCTTTCTTTCTTTCTATCTATCTTTCTTTCATTTTTCGTTATTTTTCACCTCTTTTCTTCATTCTTATCCTCTGTCTTTTCTTTCCGTCTTACAAGGTATTTAAATGATTTTTGAGATGAGAAAAGGTTTAATACGCTAGAGGTTTAAACGATAATAGAAAATAATTTCATAAATAGACGGCTTTTCCCTGCTGCTGTGCCTGACAGAGAGCGAGAGAGAGAGAGAGAAAGAGAGAGCACGAGAGAGGAAGCCAGTACGAATTGAAAGATAGTAAATGCAAAATAAAGAATAATTGACCTTCATATCTTGTAAAATAATTGGTTATAGTAGACACTTTTTCAACATAAAAGAAAGAGCGATTACATAAATGATGACATTTAAAAAATTAGAGGAGAGGGGGTTAGGTAAAAAAAAAAAAAAGATTTCAAACAAATGAAGTTGAAAGTTAATTAGAGCGAACACGTGTATTGGCAATTATCGTAATAATTTAGAGAAGAGTAAAAACGGGTTGGTTGAGCGAATTTAACTATAGAAACTAAAACTTTTCATTGAACAAATGAGGATGTAATTCTTTATATACTGAATATACAGTACATACTGTATATATATACAACATATAGAATAAAACGTTTGCCGTGTATTGTAATATTAAACATAAACTGTTCTTCCGTCGCCTAGCTACGCGAGTTAAATACGCTTTTAAAGCGTGCGCATAAGGTGAAGAAGAGGAAGAAGATAAAGAGATGTACATAAATGCATGTCTAAATGCTTACATACAAATACAGTATGTATATATGTATGTATATATGTATGTATACGTTTACATACATACGCGCATGCATGCATGCATACCATCATTATAAATTTCTATCAAACTCATTTTTTTATTGAGTACAATTTAACAAAGAAATAGCGGTGATGAGGGTGTTGACTCGATCATCTTTTGTTAGCAAATTAGTTACCCTTCTTTTTCATTACAAATTTTTAAAGCAGTTGATTTTCTATCTCTCTCTCTCTCTTCCTATCTGCAATTCCATTCTTGATAAAACGAAATAAATTTCTACCTTTAATCATGTAATTAATTACCAATTTCATTTGAGTAACCTGTCTCTGCTCTTTCGTGACCTCTTTGACACTTTAACCTATTTTTGCAATAATTTATTATACATAGGTATATACGCAAAAGTTTCTTTTATTTCTCTTTATTAACCACCACCAGCAGCATCATATTCATTAGAACGTCATCTTCCCTCCCTGTTTACCTATTCTGACAAGTAATTCTATTGTGTAAGATTACATAACAACAAAATAGATAGAATTGTCCTTTGTTCTGTAATTGATCAAAAGACAGTTATTTTTAGTAATTTAGTTAAATAGAATAAAATTATGAACTAGGTGAAAAAATAACATATTCTGAATATTAATGAGGCAGTAATTAAAATATGACCGGAAGTATGAGCGAACTAATTGGAAAGAAGTAATTCATTTAAAAAAAATAAGAGTAAAAGCTTTTCACGTGTTCCTCTCATGGGATGAGGGAACTATCTGTTGCTCGCCTAATTCATTGTCCAAAATGGTTGATATGAATTGAATGACAGCTGTAATATATGCAGTGAAGATGTTATCTGTTCTATACAATAAAAGTAATAGTATAAAAGGGGTCCGAAACATTTATTCGCGCCCACCAGATCCGTTGGTTAACTCGGAAAGTTCTTTCCACTTTCTGATCCTTATTTTCCACATTTACCCGAGGTATACTAGAGTTTCTCATCAATATTCTTTCAATATTAAAAGTATTAATAGTAATGACAGTAGTTATTATCACTATTATTACTTTTAATTCGTAGATTTACTTGTCGTTATCAGGATTAAGTTGTTGTATCTTTACAGATTTTTGAGTAATTGTTTAACTAAAGAAGCATGAAGGACGATATTGTTGTTACCGGTATTTCTTGCCGTCTCCCCAGCACGTCAAATATGACGGAGCTGTGGAAAAATTTAACTGAAGGTGTTGACATGGTCAGTGAAAACGATCTTTATTGGCCAAGAGGTAAGATTTTTCTTCATTATTTCATTCGTTTATAGTGTGCTCTTCAACGGATTAAACATAACCATTTGTTCATAATCTATCACTTCAAAAATCTATTTTCATACTCCGAATATAGGTATTCATGGCATTCCGAAAAGAAAGGGAGTTCTACCCGAAATTGATCGTTTCGACTCTCTCTTCTTCGAAATCAACCCTAAGCAGAATAAAGTTTATGATTTTGAACACAAAATTCTTTTGGAAGTAGTTCACGAGGCTATTCTCGATTCTGGTTATAGCTCTGAAGAACTTGCTGGTACTAGATGCGGTGTACTCGTTGGATCTGAAGGCAGCAGTGGTGCTACCGCCGAATTTTACGTTGATACAGCTGAAATTAACGGATTCGAAACAAAAAATCACGGTTCTATGATGTCCAACTACATTTCTTTTTTCTACGATCTTAAAGGTAACCAGCTTTTCTTTATGAATATTCAGTGTTTTTCCTATTTCATCCACTTCTCTCTCATTAACAATTTATTAATATCATAATAGGACCAAGTATGACCATAAATTCGGCCTGCAGTTCAAGCTTTCAAGCTCTCCGTCTAGCTTACCGCTATATGGAAGATAATCAATGTGATTCTATGATCGTAGCTGGTTCTCACGCTCAATTTTCACCAATGGCTAATTTAACATTAACAAGAGCTATGATGTTGGCTAACGATGGTAAATGTAAAGTTTTCGATGAATCGGCTGATGGTTACGTAAGAAGTGATGGTATCGTTGCTATCCTTCTCCAAAGAGCTAGTCTAGCTAGAAGAATCTACGCAAACATTAGAGGCGTCTATGACAACTGTGACGGCAGAAAGAGTCAAGGTAATTTTTGAACAACATAAAAAAACAACTTATATCTCTTAATAAACTCTCTCTCTCTTCCTTTTATCTTTTTTCGCACAGGTACATCTTTCCCTAGCGCTCCATCCCAAAAGGATTTGTTAAGAGACTTTTATAAAGCAAACAACATGAATCCCGATGATGTTGTCTATATTGAAACTCACGGAACCGGAACCCAAGTAGGAGATAAAGCAGAAATTACCGCTCTTTCCGAATTCTTTTGCGGAAATGGCAGAAAAGACTTGTTAATAGGATCAATTAAGTCCAATCTCGGCCATACTGAAGTAACTTCCGGTACGTGTATTTTCATTAATGTTTCGCTTTAGTCAGTACTTTTCGAATGAAAAGACTAATAAAAATAAAACAAGCTAATTAACTAATTAACTGTTAATTAAAGGTTTGGCAAGCATGTGTAAAGTAATCTTGGCTATGCAACACAAACTAATCCCGGGAAATCTTCATCTAAATCAATTCAACTCAAACATCCCCGAACTCTTTGATGGTTCAATGAAGGTTGTTAGGGAAAATATGGAATGGGAAGGTGGACCAACTGCTATCAACTCATTCGGATTTGGTGGTGCTAAAGTTCATTGTGTTATTGAACCCTATCGAGAGAAGAAGAACAATGAAATTAAATATGATGGACTAAGATTGGCTACCATCTGCGGAAGAACTGAAGAATCCACGAAATTCTTTTTAGAAAATATGCTTGAAAACAAGGATAACCTTGAGTTCCACTCTTTGACAGAGTCCCTTTCTCTCTCCTCCCCAATGGCTTATCCTTACAGAGGTTACGTTGTCATGAACTCTGAAGAGCAAATCATTACTGTTGAAGTGAGTTTTATTCCTCATTTGTTAATTCTATCCCCTTTTGTTTCATTTCTAATCTGTTTCCTCATTCCCTAAAACAGGATATCCCAAACAAAGGATCTGATAAAGAAGTATGGTTCGTTTACAATGGTATGGGTTCTCAATGGCCCGGTATGGGCAAAGAACTTTTGGGCATGAAAGAATTCAGAGAGAGTTTCGAAGTATGCAGCAAAGCTGTTGCCCCTCTAGGCATTGACTTAAAGAAGCTACTCCTGGAATTTAGCGAAGAAGATTGCGAAGAAATAGTAAAAGTTTTACTTTGCGTAACCGCCATTCAGGTAAGAGAAAAGGGATAAAGATGTCTATGATAACTTTCTCTGAACTTTTTTTTCTAACCATTCCAGATTTGCATAACTGACATTCTGGAAAAAGTTGGCGTTGTACCAAATGGTATTGTTGGTCATTCTCATGGTGAACTTGCTTGCGGTTACGGTGACAAGGCTTTGAACGCTGAACAAACCATGTTGATCGCCTACCATAAGGCTATGAGTATCGTCAACCAAAACACAGATGAAGGTTCTATGTGTGCCGTTATCGGAATCACTCTCCAAGAATTGGAAGAGATAGTTCCTGAAGATGTCACTATTGCCTGTCATAACTCTGAAAGCATTCATACTATTTCCGGCGCCGTAGAGAATGTCGCGCGATTTATGGAAACATTGAAGGAGAAGAATATTAAATGCAAGGCAGTTAAGAGTTGCAAAGTGGGTTTCCATAGTTCACTCCTGGAAAAAACCTATCCCGAATACAGAAAAAATTTGGAAGAGGTTTGTACTGTTTGTTTGTTCTTTCAATGAAAGAAAATATAAAATTTCTGCTCTATATTTATCAGATTATACCAGAACCAAAGGAAAGATCTTCCAGATGGATCAGTACTTCTCTTCCTGAAGAAGATTGGGAAGAAGATGTCGGTCTTACTGCTAACCCCGAATATTACATTGCCAACATGGCTAATCCTGTCTACTTTGTCGAAGCATGCAGTCTTATTCCAGAGAATGCAGTTATCATCGAAATTGGTGCTACTAACCTACTACAGAGTGTTGTTAAGGCTACCGTAGGCAAGAAGGCAACCTTCTGCCCAATGATACCTAAAGGACCAACAGATGAAACAACTCTTCTCTCCCATATAGGAAAGTAAGTATCCATCATTAAACATAATTAAAGTTTGAATGAATAGAATTTAAAGTCTAATCTTTATCTCATTCTCTTCACAATAGAATCTACTGCGCAGGTATTAATGTTAAACCACTGAACTTGGTTCCTAGAGTGCAATTCCCTGTCAAACTCGAAACACCTATGATAGCACCCTTCTTTAGATGGGATCATTCAGAAATCAACGAAAATCCAGTTGCCAGTTTGGATGAGGTTCAAAAAGTTAAACCACACGAAAGATTGATGACAATCAAGAACTTGTACGTTGCCAAAGATTCTTGGCTAAGAAGCCATCAAATCGATGGAAGACTTGTAGTTCCAGCCACCTATTACATTGACTTGCTTATTGATGTTTACTGCGATTTCAATAACTTGAAGAGAGATGACCCTGCATTGACATTCACCATGAACGACTGGCTTATTCATAAAGCTTGCTTCATCCCAAATGAAGGTAAGAAGGAGTGTATAGATAAGAATGACTTGTATTAATGCTGTTGCTGTTTCTTTCCCCTTTATTAGAATACGTACCTATCCGTTTCCAAGTAACAATCTGCAAGAGATCTGGATATTTTGAAATTTTCGAAAGTAATACAGCAGTTGTTTGCGGTTACTTCATCCATCATCATTCGAGAAAGAATCATTGGAAGAATGTCGTTAAACATAAGATTATCGAACCCTACAGAGCGTCGAAGAACAAACTTCCCGGTTATAGTCCCGATGATCCAGAAGTATACAAAAAGGAAGAAATTTATCAATTCGTCGCCAGAGCAGGATACGAATACGGTGAAGCTCTACAACTGATTATCAGCGGAAAGAAGGACAATTGTTATATTACTTGGAATGGAAATTTGGGTGCTTTCTTGGATGGTATCAATCAATATCAGGCTTTTGTTAATGACATCGATACTATCTATATCCCGTACGTTTACAATAAGGTCGAAATCGACTTGTACGAATTAAACTACATAAGAAAGCCTGGTGATGCAATCTATTCTGAAATTGCCGATAGAAGAGATTACCTCTATTCGGGTGGAGTTAGGATGATTGGAAAGAGATCCGAACATATTAATCGTAAAACTCTTGAACAAAATGCATCATTAAACGTCCAAATGTACACTCCATACGCCTCATTCTCCGAAGAAGAAACTTACGATAACTATCAAGCTATAGTTCAAAAGATGCTTAAACTTTTCAATGAAGCCGAAAATAAGAAAGACGTACAAGAAGAGATTATCCAAATGCTTCATAAATGTAAGTGGACTCATCAGACGCTCGATTTTAATCTATTGGAAAAATTGAGAGATTTATGCGATACGGAAAATACTAAGGTTGATAAAAACAAGATGGCGTCCGTTAAGGATGATTTATTCCTATCAACTTTCATTAGCCAAGACGATATCCTTGAGTATTATTCGGTCATGGATCAAAACAATTTCAACCCCATAAAATCAATTTTACATTACGGTAATAATTCTATCTGGTCGAATGTATTGGCTTTGAATATGGGCGATTTAACTCAATTCCAACTGTCTGGTATCTTAACCACGGATGAAAAGAACGACAACTTGAAGAAACTCTTGCAATTTATTAAAACCCCTAAGAATGATTTAACTCAAAGAGGCAACTTCTTCACCTACGTTAGCGGTCTTTTCTCTACCAGCGAAGATGCCGATGAAGAACTTAAATTCTTATATAACCTAATCCAAGAACGTGGTGGCTTCCTTTGTATTCACGATTTCACTTGCGATAACGATAAAGTAATCGATACTCTAAACTTCTTCAAGAATCACGAACATGAACATAAAAAGGTTGGCAGAGAGGAAATGTGCAAGAGATTGCAAGATGTTGGATTTGATATATTCTACGAAAAGCACAACAATTTAACTTCAGTTTTCATTTGCCGTCCAGCAGTTGAAGTTGAAGAGGAGCCAACCATCATTGATATTACCGATTGCGAGAAATTCTCCTGGTTGGGACCTCTACAAGAAGCCCTTAAGAAAATCGAGAAGCCAGAAGAAAGAATCTGGTTGATTGCCAGCAAACCAGAGCCAAACGGAGTTCTTGGTCTTATCAAATGTCTTAAGAACGAGGAGAACGGCAACAAGGTTAGATGCTTGATGAATGGCGATCTCAAGGGACAAAGCCTACCTCCAGAATACATGCCCGGTGGAAGTACATTCAAGAAGATTGTCAAGAGAGATCTTCTTTTGAATATCTACAGAAAAGAAACTCTCGGCTGTGTAACACATAGAGATTTTATGAAGCAAAGAAAGAAGCCGAATTACTCCAAGAACGTCTGTCTTGGTCAAAAAACTTTGGGCAACATGTCCAGCTTCTTCTGGTGGAACTTGCCCGAATTTTTGGTTGACGAAAAAATGGCTAGTGAACACGGAATGTTGCCAATAAACGTCCACTATTCGGCATTAAACTTCAGAGATGTTATTGTCGCTACTGGAAGACTGAGAGAACAAAAGGCTAGAGGAAACGTTAAGGCTCTCGAGAATAAGATTGGTTCCGAATTTTCTGGTATTACCGAAAGTGGAAGAAGAGTTATGGGAATTGGAGCAAAGATGACGGCTATCGCATCAAAGGTAATCGCCGCCAATAATATGCTTTGGGATATTCCCGAAACCATGACATTAGCCGAAGGAGCATCAATTCCTATGGTCTACTTTACCGCTTATTTCGCTTTAATTGTTAAAGCTAAAATGAAGCCGGATGACGTTGTCCTTATTCATTCAGCAACCAGCGGTGTCGGTATGGCTGCGTTGGAAATTTGTAGACAATTCAAAGTAAAAAAAATTCTTTGTACTGTTGGTACCGCCGAAAAAGTCAAATTCTTACAAGAACACTACAAAATACCAAAGAGTTACATCTACAACTCCCGTAGCACAGACTTCTTTGATAGAGTTCTCGATAAAACTGAGGGAAGAGGTGTCGACATTATTCTCAATTCTCTTTCGGATGAGAAATTGACGCTTTCTTTCCAACTTATGACGAACGGTGGAAGATTCTGCGAAATTGGTAAGAATGATATCGTTAAGAATACTAAACTTGGTATGTCAACTTTCTTGAACGGTGTCTCCTTCCACGCTATTGTTTTGGAGACAATCTTGGGCAATGACGAAAACAGCGAATTTATCCAGACTAGAAGCCTATTGGAGAATGGCTTGAAAGATGGCTATGTAAAGCCGTTACCTCTACACATCTTCGACATGGAAGGTGCCGAAGAATCGTTTAGATTAATGTCCAGTGGTACCCATATAGGAAAGATTATGATTAAGATTAGAAAAGACGACAAACCAGAAGAATACACAAGTAGTTTAGAACGCTTAAGAACCTCAGAGAAGATGTTCTGTATGCCCGACCTGGTTTACATTATCACCGGAGGTTTAGGTGGTCTAGGAAATGAATTGGCTAAGGCTCTTCTCAATAGATACGCCTACAAGATTATCTTGACAACGAGACAACCTAAAGTTAAAGGATATAAGAAGAAATTGTATAATCTCTTGTTCAATATCGAATCTAATGCCCAACTAACAGTTATGAACTACGACGTTAGTAACTACGACGAGGCCGTTCAGTTGTTTGACGAAGCTGACAAATTAGGTAAAGTTGGTGGTGTTTTCCATTTGGCTGGCTTACTACGTGATGCCGAATTCGCAAATCAAACCCAAGAAACATTTAAGGAAGTTTGCGATGTCAAGATTCTCGGAACCAAAAATATCGATAAGATAACAAGAGAAAGATACGGAAATGATTTGAAGAGTTTCGTAGTATTCAGTTCATTGGCCAGCGGTTTCGGTAACGCTGGACAAACTCCTTACGGTTTTGGCAACGCCTTCGCCGATTCGGTTTGCGAGCAGAGATGCGCCGATGGTTTAGCCGGAATGTCAATCCAATGGGGACCAATGGCCGAAGTAGGAATGTACGAAGAGACCCTTCAACAAAGAAGGAAACAACTGAGAGAAAAGGGAGTGTCGGGAGCCGAGATTGAAGAATTGATGAATACCGGTATCTTCCAAGCACAAAGAATGGACTCTTATATGGACAGCTTTGAGAAATTTACTCTTACACCAATGCCAGTTGTCACTAGTTACGTTCTTTCCTCGCCACTTTTATTGCTCAGTCAAGGCAAAAACGATTTTGAAGTTGGTTTACAAGCTGTAGAAAAAGTACTAGGTTAGTATTTTATTGTCCTTTTAAGTGCTCCATTTCCATCTTTTTAAAACTTTACCTTTCCAACAGGTGTAAAATCTTTGGCTGCAATGAAACCCGAGACGAAATTGTCCCAGATGGGTTTGGATTCTATCATGGCCTCCGAAATCCATATTATCCTGAGAACCAAAATGGGTATGGAACTAAGTCCAGCTGACGTGAGAAACTTATCGCTCGGTGACATCTTGGCATGCGGTAAGAAAGAAGAGGAAGAGGAGGAAGAAGAATAGACTATACTAAGTAAACTAGAAGAAGAAGAGGAGAAAGAAGAAAATTTAAACCAAAAAAAACCAAAAAAAACCCCAAAAATACATATTTTTTAAGCATCCAAAAAATGGAAACAATAGAAGATATACCTCATTAAAAAAAGAAAAGAAAAAGACTTTGAACAACAATAACAACAGTGAGAATATAATAAAGCAACAAAATCCATTTCTCACCATCTGAACATCATCAGCATCATCATTATCGTCGAAACGATTCATTAGAGTTCTTTTCTTTTTTTGTGTTCTCCCTCTTAATTTCTTTTTGTCAACATAATAACACTTTTTATCAACTGAAACATTGAAAATGGTATATGGGTCTTATGTAGTGTTAACCAGGCATTTACTACATAAATGACAAACATGAAATATTTAAGTTATTTCCTCAACAAGTGACACTTTTCATCAAAAGACTTATGAAACGCCGATGTTTTTGAATTGTTCAAAACAACAATAACAACGATAACAACAACAACAACAACAACTGCTATTTGTACATTTTATTGAACGTTTAAAAATGAACAATTACTTTTTTCGTTTTCTAAAAAATATGTAGCGTCACCAAATATTTTTAAAATGTTCTTTTCTTTCTATTTGTATCGATGGCAGTATAAAGCAATCCCTTCGGAAAATTGCTTTTTGTAGATATTTACAACTAATTACGTTATATTCAATTAATTGTCGGCGTGGATGTTGTTACTTTGTCCTGTTTTTCGTTTTTAATACCTTTATTTTTTTTTCTTTCCATCCTATTTTAATTCCTATCTCTCTCTACAAATGAAAATATATACTCTTGCGCAATCTGTAACTGTTAGTTTAAGGAAAAGGAGAAGAGAAAGAAAAAATAAAAAGAAAAGGAATTGGCAGTGAAAGGAAGAAGAAGAAAGAAGAAGAAAAAGTCCATTTTTCCTTTCATCCTGTTTCTTGTATGTTTTTTATTTTTGTTTTAAACACACTACTGCACTTTTAATGAAATTTACATATTCATGAGATAAATTGAACGTAGAATGTTCTTCTTTAAAATACCAGTCTTTTCAATAATATTTAATAGGTTTATAATATTAATAATTAGATAGGATTACGAATAAGTGGAAAGGGGAGGGAGAAGACTAGAGTAAGAGAGAGAGAGAGAGAGAGAGAGAGATACTCCATATATACTGTATATATATACATACATATATTTATAGATTTTACATATAGCACATTATATAGAACGAGCTAATACATTAGACATTAAGAGAGAGACTATTGTATATGATTTTTCCGAGAAAAAAGACGATGAAAAGTTATTAATTGAGCGTTTGAAGCTCAAATTTAATTTTGAATTATTTCTTCCCTACTTTCTCACCCTTTTTACCTTTCTATATTTATAATCTCAGTTTACAAAAAACTAACGGACACCTTATGAAGAAAAACAAAGCGTAAAAGAAAAAGAAAAGCTTCCTGGCTTGAAGCTTACATGTCTCTTTCTCGTCTGTTTCGCTGCATTTAAATGATGATAATTATTTAGAATAACTGGAAATATTAACAAATTACCCAAATTTCTCATTAAATACTCTCTTCTTCCACTTACACGGTCTATGTGCCATGGGCCAGACGTTAATGTATCATTGCAATATTTAAAAAAAATACGTTACAGAACATGCGCAATGCGAACCTTATCAATCAGTTGATCACAATTCAAAAATTCACTTTTAATCCTGGTGTTAACTAGCGATATCTTATCCATTTGTTGCTTTTTTCATCTAATTCATGACATTACGCATTATTTATTGTTAATATTTTTATTAGAAACATCTAAACATGTTCCAGCAAATAAAAGACTGTATGGCTTTCTGGTCTATGATATTTTTTCTACTAGGTTTCATCTTGTTTCTATGCCGAAAGTTGGAAAATTTAATCAGATCTTTCAAAGTGGGAGAAATCAAAGAAAAACGTGTTTTAATTACTGGATGCGACAGCGGTAGGTCAAAATTTTTTAACGAGACATAATTAATTAAGATAGTAATCACGTCTTCCCTTTTCTAATTTTGTAAATGTCTATATATTTGCTTTCTTTCTTTCTTTCCTCTCTTCCAATCAATTCTTCTCTTATTTACCATTCTTTGCGTTCCTCAATAGGTTTTGGTTATCAACTCGCAAAAAGGCTGGACTCTAAGGGACTCTACGTTATAGCCCTTTGCTTACACGATCACAGTTGTACTCGGTTAAAATCTGAAAGTTCGTCCAAACTAAGAGCATTCCAAGTGGACGTTTCAAAGGAAGAAGAAATTGAACAATTAAAGTGTCTTTTAAGAGAAGAACTAGAAGAGAAGGGACTACATGCTTTAGTAAACAACGCTGGAATAAGTAGTTCCGAAGCTGTAGCCGAAATCTATTGGTTAAAGGTGGGAGATTTTCAAGAAGTATTTAATGTCAACGTCTATCCAATAGTTAATTTTTGTAAACAATTTCTACCATATCTAAAAAGAGCTAAAGGGAGGATTGTTAATATGAGTTCAGCAGCAGCAAAATTAGCCGATCCAATTGAAACGTCAATACCTTATCTAACAAGTAAATATGCTATGGCTGCTTATTCAGATTCATTAAGGTTTGAATTAGTTTTTCAACAATGCAACTTTCGTCCTTATGCCCCATCTTTCTTCATTAATACTAACATGATATACCTATGCATTATGTATTTTCTATAGAATTCTTCTGAAATTGAATAACATTCCAGTTAGCGTTCATATTATAGAGCCAGGAATGTTTAGGACCAACTTCATGAACAGCCAAGAGATAATGGCTCGCATTTATAAAGGATTAGATAGAATACAAGAAAAGAAGCTTCGAAAAATATTTACAGATGTTGCCAATGATCAAGGTTTTTATAAAGGAACCTAATTATTTCACAGCAAATCAACGGCTGATTTTCTTTCTCTTATTATTAGCTAAAACTCTGAGGGAACGGTTGGAGAGAAAATTCCCACCAGACTCAACTCCGGTTATAGACTGCTACGAAAATGCTATTCTCTCTATTTGGCCGAAGAAACGCAGTAGTGTAAACGCGAGTGGTTCAATTCTACTTTCATACTGTCCAAGTTGGTTAAGTGACGATATACTATTGGATATTTAATAAACTGAAAATGGCACCGTAAACGAGTAAAAAGGAAGAAACTAGGCTTTTTATTTCTAAAAATAAAATATATGTTTCAATGAAATAATAAAGGATTAGATAAACTAGTTAAAGGAAATAATGGCAGCACGTGTTCAATTGTGTTTCCTTTACAACCTTTTGAACATTTTCCGTTTATTGCACGTTTGAAAATAAATTCCAATCAATATCGATTACACAGATCCTATCGATAACGCCTGTATGTATATCGGAGGCTTTCTCGTTTTTCTTTTTCCAAATATAAACTATATTTCTGGTTGATTCATGAAGAATTTTTCTTCTTCTTCTTCTTCTTCTCTACTATTCTTAGGCTATTAGACTTTGAAAGAGGCCAGAGAGATAGAGATAGAAAGAGAGATGTAGAATAGAAAAAAACAATAACAAATTACAAAAAGAGGGCTCATTTAAATGACAACGTAATCAATTTTTATATACAGCTGCTGTTCGTAGCCAACTTTGGCTGTATGCTGTGTGTCTGGCAATTCGTTAACAGTAATATGATGAACGAAGCTCTCTTTCTCCTAAGTTTGTCGTTAGCCTGTATAGGCTTATATGGCATTATCCGAAGAGTTGAAAGATGGTTTAGGTCAGGTTATATTAAGAACTTTAAAAACAAGCACGTTCTTATAACAGGCTGCGACAGTGGTAAGTCATTCTGTTAAGTAAAAACTTAATTATTTGACTTTCCGCCTTATTTCCCTTGACAGGTTTTGGCTACATGCTAGCCAAGAGGTTAGATAAATTAGGTATGCCTGTTACTGCTACTTGCCTTACAGAAGAAGGATGCGAAAGACTTGAATCTGAATGTTCGGCGAGACTAAAAGCTATCAGTCTCGACGTTACGAATGAAGAAGATGTCAACGATTTAAAGGAATGCCTAGAATACGAACTACGAGAAAAGGGCCTCTACGCACTTGTTAATAACGCAGGAGTAAGTCAGCCAAGAGTAGTGGCAGAGGTTTATTGGTCAAAGAGAGGAGATATTAGAGAGGTAATGGACGTGAATTCAACAGCAATGGCAAATATAACTTCCAAGTTTTTGCCATTACTATCAAGGGCAAACGGACGAGTAATTAACATGACATCAGCGAGTATGAGATTACCAAATCCTATTGGTGTTACAATAGCTTATGTTGTAAGTAAAGCTGCCGCATCAGCATTCTCTGATGCTTTCAGGTAAAAATTCTCGTAATTGATTATTTAATTACATCGTTTAATAGTTTCAGAAAGTCTGTATATACACGACTTATATATATATGTATATTTATATACTGTATATAAGTGTGTATACAGAAATATAGAATATTAGGCAATTAACAACTTTTTCCTTTAGAATCTTAATGAAGCTTGACAAAAGGAACGTTTCTTTGCACATAATCGAGCCAGGGATGTATAAAACTAGTGTTATGGATATTGAAAGAATAACTAAAGCTTACGAAAGAGGAATAGAAAGGATTCCAGATTCATTTAAACTTAAGAAGACATTCGAAAAACATTCTGCTAACATAAGTAGGTTTCTTTCTTTCTCTATTTTCCTATCCCCTTCCTATTTCCTTTCTCTCCTTCTCTAACTCTTTGTCTTTTCTTGCCTTTCACTCCGTTCCTCTCAAAATATGAATATATGAATATTTAATAAATTCTCTTTTATTCGCAGTTCGTAGCCTTCGGGAAAAGTTTAATAATTCAGCCTCTTCTAATCTGGACGAAGTCATTGACTACTACGAGCACGCAATCCTATCAAAATATCCGAAGAAAAGGTATAATAAACTGGGAGAGCCTTCAGTTGTATTATCCTACTTTCCATCAATAATTACTGATAATATCCTATCTAAACCTGCTTTATATTGAATTTTAAAAAATATAGAATAATTTCGTTGTTATTAATAACAATATACAAAAGAACAAATATTTTTCATTCAAATACCAAATAGCTGCTTCTTAGACTCTAATTAAATTTCGAGCTTGGAAACCAAATCTATATAGACCTGTTTATTACTTGTTTATGGTGAGAGCTATCCCCTCTGGGCGTCTAACGTCAAAGCAATAATATTGGTATAATATCAATCACTCCTTCTCTTCACATTCATATTTAATTAGTACTTTTGATAAATTTACAAGGAACGTTGACTCTTTCGAACAATCTAATTAACCGAGGTAAGGAACTTTCTGACGTACTATCCGTTGCTTCAACGCTTGTGTACGTTCAACTTTGAGTAAGGCGAAGAGACTAGCATTCGAGCGATAAAGGGAATATCTGATTCGTTATCAATTTCCTTATCCCTCGCTTGCGCAGGGAATTTGAATCGAAGGAAGAGAGAAGAGCATCGAATAAATAGAAAAAGAAGCTTGACAAATTATGAATACTTCTATCTCATTTCGATATGAAAACTATAATTTTTATTTAATCTATACAATTGTGGAGTTGTGTCTTTCGGTTATTGTTTCTATTTGTAATGGGCTATTTATTGCTTCGATACTTAAAAGTAAGAAATTATGGACAATAGCCAACTCTTTTGTATTATCATTAGCAGTTGCAGATCTTATTGTTGGACCAGCTCTTCTTTACGAGTCTTTATTCCTCTTCTACCCACAACTTGGTGATAAATGGCCCACTTGTATATTGCGATTCTCCATCCTCGTCTCCTCTTTATGTAGCTCTATTCTATCGAATGTTTGCATAAGTGTTGATCGGTTTATCGCCATAACTCAACCTCTCTATTATTTTACAATGCTTACTAAGAAGAAAGCAATTCTAATGATAGCATTTGCTTGGTGTTATATGCCTATATGGTATCTTTTCGTACTGTTTGGCTGGAATACATGGAATCCATCGTTAGACTGTAATAACTATTTGCTCTATCATCCGAAGCCTTTCCAATATGGCCTGGTTTTCACATTGATCTCTGGAGTTGCCATTAATTGGATCCTTTATTATAGGGTAATAAGAATTGGATTCAAAGTTGGAGCACAAATAATGGTTCAAAAGAAGATGGCTAAGAACTTTAAGAGAACTTACCTACAAATGGTTATATTGATACTATTTATAATATGCTGGTTTCCCTATACAGTTATAGCGATAATAAGAGTTTTAACAAAATTCGAGGTTACGCTAATTAAAGATATTTGCATTATGATAGGCTATTTCAATTCAGCGATGAACTGGCTGGTTTATGTCTTCAAAAGTAAAGATTTTCGAATAGCATTTTTTAGGTTATTAAAAGTGAAATTTGTATCAAATAGAGTAGAGTCTCTAACCATAGCAACGGATAATTAGAAACAAAAAAGGGGACGTTGAATCATCTCCACTTGAGATAAATAAGGCGAAAAAACGAATATAAATTGTACAAACAGTTATATCTAAACTGCATGTATGGACTTTTATATTATAATAAACATTTAGAGAGCGTTGCAATCGCAATGTATAAATCATTGACATACACCTCCTCTCTCTCTCTCTGTTGCTCAGTTGTTCTTGTACGCTCTCTCTTTTTCTCTCTCTCTCCTTTACTTGTTTTTGTGCTTGCTCTCACTGTTTCTTTCCCTCTCCTCTTTCTATCTCTATCTACTTTTCCTCTTCTACTTCTTCTTCTTCTCCCTTTATCCTTAATCCTCTTCTTTTGTTTCTTCTCTAATATCCTCCAAGAAGAAAGTCTGATAAGGAATTTGCTTAATTAAAATGAATAGAACGGATGAAGGTACACTATCACCTTCCCATCCAAAATGGATAACATGGATTATACTTCAAATACTAATTATCCTTTCAAACTGTGTTACAATTAAGATAATGTTTTTGGTTAAGTGCCTACCTCGATTGATTATTAGATTGATATTATCGGTTGCAGTTGCTGATTTTACTCTAGGTTTTGGAGGCTTTATAAGATCAGTTTATATTCTATCATTCCGAAATGATATATTGTCATCTTACTTCTGCAATCTGGACGTTTTTCTCATTCATGTTTCGCTAATGTCATCTATTGTTAATATGACGGCTATAACTGTATTTAAGTTAATATCTATTTATTCTCCATTCGTCTACGAAAGGATAGAATCGCGATATGCTTTGATTATATGCCTAATTTGGTTTATAATACTTTGTATATGTTTAGAAGTGTTGATTGATAAAGACTTGGTAATTTTTGAAAGTAACGCCTTCATCTGCGAGTATGTGTTCAAAATAAACGTTCCAACAACTATAAAAGTGATATTTATATTCGTAATACCACCGATTTTAATGTTTACATTGGACGTTCTACTACTAATGACGGCGAGGAAGCAGATAAACAAAATACATAATATCCTCTCAACGAATAGTCCTGGTCAACGGAAATTTTTAAAGCAGCATTTAAAAACTGTTAAGACTGTTTTCTTGATGCACATTGGATTTTTTGTGGCGTGGATACCATTTTCAACAACAAATATTCTACCCAAAGCCTTTATTGGTCATTCATTTGAAAAATTCAAATTTAGCGTCTATCTTTTAGCATGGAGTAACAGTTTTTGGAATCCAATACTCTATTTATTTACAATTCAAGAATTTCGTCTAAGAATCAAGTTACTATTTTTTAAAATGAAGCCCAATATAAATCCATCAGTAACGATAAGCGTCGCATAATGCTGTGTATGTAACACTAATAAGATAATATATATCATAACGATTGAATAAATCTACAAACTTATAAGGAGTCTTATTAAGTTATTATTGTATTACTAGTAAAAAATGATTGAAAAGAACATTATATACAGTATTATACTGTCTGATCTATCTATTTATCTTTTATCTATATGTCCTTCTGTCCATCTCTCTCTCTCTCTCTCTCTCTCGCTCTCGATATACTGTATATTCATCCATTTTCAATCAAGTTTCCATCCGTCTATCAATCTATCCATTGGATTAAAAGGAAAGTTTACAACTTTTGATAGAGTTTTAAAAGTGAAAAATAAAGGTTAATAAAAAGTGTCTCCCTGTAGTAAGGAGAGAAAGACGAAGAGAAAGAGAAATGTTAAACTGTGCGTCAATTCTTTCTCTTTCCAACAAGCTTATTTAAATGTAAAGCATACTCTTTCTAACTCTTATTACCTGTCGTTATTTTTATTGTTGTTTAATCAGTTCTATTTGTTTATAAATTCTATAGAAATATTTAAATAAGGTAATAAATTAAATTTTTAAGATACTCTTTTAGATAAGGTTATAACGAAAGCTTTATATGATATATATATATATAATTTAGAATTACGCAACATTTTTCTCACACATATTTTGCAAAAAAAAAAATAAAGAAACCAATAAAATCAAATCCTGACAATGAACATTGAAATGCTTTTTTTTTTACCTAGAAATATGATACAATGAGGGAGAGAGAAGGAGAAAGAGAGAGAGAGAGAGAGAGAGAGGGGGGGGGAAGTGATATATATATAAAAATTATATATATATATATATATATATAAACATACAGATTATTTTTTATTTTGTATTTTTTTACCGACAAAGGTCAAGGAAACAACAAACAGATATTTAATTTCAACAGTCGGTAATAGACAGTGATAGAGAGGAGAGCTGATTTAGGAAGAGGATAACATACCTTAAATACATTAATATATATATATATATACAAATATATATATATATATGTATATGTATATATGTATATATATATATATATATATTAATAAACTAATAGTTAACAACGTGCGTAAGTTCAAAGAAAATGTTTTTTCCTTTCGTCTTTTGTAACGTATTATTAAATTTGTGTTAGGTTTAGATTCAATACGAATTTTTTTATTGACAAAAGGGGAAATATTTCAGTCAAGAAAGAAAGGTTGACAATAAAAATAACATTCTGAAAGGGAAAGACATATAGAAAGACAGAGAGAGAGAGAGAGAGAGAGAGAGAGGGAAAGAGTGTGTGTGTGAGATTAAGGCAGAGGGATATAGGAAAAGGAAATATAATTTTATCGTAGAGTAAATAGGCTGATGTCATTTTCTATAATCTGTAAGTAGAAAAAGAAATGAATAAAGGTATAACCAACTTTAAATGGATCACGTGATTCGATAATAGTGCACGCTTGTAATATTAAGCGTAAATTATTACAGGCCATTTACAATGATTACTTATATCTACTGTACTATGCTTATATAGAATGTATATATATATATAAATATATTTTGTATGTCATTGTTAACGCCGTATAGTGGTTTTCAGAGATCTCTTCTCCTTCCCTTTTGCACATGCTAAACAGTATATAAATCTAGTCAAAATAAGGAATGATTGCTGATTATCAATCTATCAAAATTTTACAAATTTTTTAAGAATTGAATCCTAACAATAGCTAATCTAAATGACATTTTTTTCATTCTCTATATTAGATATTTATTTACAAAGGCCTATAAATATTAAACTTTTTACTCCGTGTCTATGGTTTATTGTATTCTGTACTATTTTACTTTTTTTTTTCACTCTTCCATTATAGGATTGATTATTTTAGATAAATTACTATTAAGAAGTATACGGAGAACAGGAGACAATAGTTGTAATATAGCGAACGAAGCGGGTGGGAAAAAGAAAGAAATTCGCTTATAAGAGGACAAATATTAGAAGAAAGATAGAGAGAAGGAATAAAAACAAGTTTACTATGGCCAATTTAACGACGAAAGATGAAATGAAAAATTGTAGTTACTGCAATCAGAGTGCGGTTACTATTTGCAGAAATTACGAATGTGCAAATTTACCTTATTTCTGCTCCTCATGCTATTCTAGGATGCATAATAACGAAGATAAAAGGCAGCATTATCATTTAAAATTGACAAATGTATGTAGATCTAATTCGGAGAGACTACAAAAAACTATGCGAGGAATTGAAGAGACCAAAGAGGTAAGCGTTTTTCCCTTATTCTTTACCGTCATCTTATTATCATCATTACTATATTTACAGTAAAACTTTTCATATATCATGTCTAAACAAACGATACAGATTGTAGAAACGGATGGTTTGGACAACGTTGATTTTGGTCTGATTTTCAAACCAATTAAACAAAAAGTTAGAAAACGATCTTCGAATTTTGACCAATTAAAGGTTTTATAGATTTAATTTCATCTATTTTACCGTTTAGTTGTCTTTTTATTACTGCTTTAATTATTAAAGTTTGCTTTTTATGTGAAAATTAGACAAAAGTACAAAAGAAGAGAAACCAAAAGCTATTTACGTATTAAATGTAATGTAATTATATAAAGCGTACAATAAATATATACAGTATGCGCAGTATATATTGTATTTATTGTATGTGGCGTACTGTATACGCTTAAATAAGAAACAAACATCTATAGGCTATTATCAAAAGCAATTAAACTAAGATAAAAAGCATCCGACAGCCTTTCTATTTTGTCTTTCTGTCTCTCTCTCTCTCTTCCTTATTCGAAATGTTTTTTATCTGCCCACGCATAAGCGTTCTAATCCTTTGTCTTTTATCCCTCGTACAGATCTTTTATTACTAAAATATCAATTATCAAATTATTAATATTTGTTTTGTCTTTCGTTTTTCTCCCTAAAAACTTCTAGGAGAGCTTTGTGATAAGAATTGATTTTCAAGAAAAATCCTACGACTTTACAATAGAGATCAAACCTAAAAAAACACTACGAGACGCCCTCTTTGCAATATCAAAAAAGTCTGGAATTAGTACACTCGATTCTTCAAAAGTAGAAGTAAGAATTGAAAACTCACGCAGCCCGTTAAGTTTAGATAGCCCTGTCTGTCATTTAGCAAATTTAACTGTCATAGCAACAGGTTAGTGAATAAGTTGGGTGTTTTTTTTTTATATTCTTTAATGTTGATTAAACTAACAATATCACTTTTTATATTTTTCTTTTTAAATGAAAAGAAGAAAAGAAAGAATTTAAATTAATATCCTCCTTTTCTCTTTTATTCTTTGTATGTGTTTTTTGTTTCTTTTTTTTTACTTTTCAAGGATTTCGTAAGGCTTTTAAAACTACTAAAAGTAAGTAAGAGCTAATTATGTTAAAAATATTATCTCTCTCTCTCTCTCTCTCTCTCTCCGTGTCTATCTGTCTGTCTTCCATCTTACTACCTTTTCCTATTCTCTCACTAAATCCATCTATCTTATATTGATTAAAATATTTACAAGCTACCGTCTTTGCTTCTCTCTAACATCAATACACGCATACACTCTATTCCATAGCCATGATATGTCATTTTTTTTGTCAATACGGATAATTGATCCTTTGCATGACTTCATTATTTAAACAGTCAATGAAGAGGACTTTGTTAACATTCAAGACATTCTGGAGCAATTTAGACATCATCTACCAGCTTTACCTTCCCATTTGTACGTTAGCGCCACAGAATGCGATTCGGCCAGTATGATCTTACCCGATTCTTGGACAGTTTACATAGACTATAAGAAGATGGACGAAGCGGAGAGGAAAAGGCATAATATCATTTGGGAAACTCTACAATTTGAATCATCCTATCTAAAGAAATTAAAAACATTGGTTGACGTCTACGTTTCACCTTATTATAATCTACTGCAAAGAGGCTTTTTTACGGATTTGGATATGAAATTAGTTGTATCGAACCTTAAGGAAATGTACTTTCAATGTTGCAGTAGATGGAATAATGTTATATTACCTTTTATTAATAGTATTAAAAAAGGTAATTTAATGGAAATTGAAGATTTTAAAAATCTATATAACATTAGAAAAATGAGCACTTTAGGCGATGACGATATTAGCGATCTATTCCAAGAAGAGCATATTTATCACATGACTGTTGACAAGTTAAAGGAATATATTAAGAACGTGAAAATGAATAATCAAGACTTTAATAAATTCTATTCGTGGGTCAATATCATGCTATGGGGTTTAGATAAACACGAATTAAACTCTTATCTTACTGCTCCCATGCATCATCTTACTAGGCATACTCTCTTCCTTGAACGCCTCATCAAGTCCACTAATGAAAAGGAAACTCTTGAGAAATGCTCTCATAGGATTAAAAATTTCCTAAAAGGTGTCGAAGCTGAAATATGCATGAGAGAGAGATTAGAGGTTCTTACCGAATTTCAAACTAGAATCGAAAGCTACGATTTTATCGATCCTGTACAGAATTTAAGCGAAACTTTAAAGAAAAGTCTTCGAATTTGTTTAACCTCCTCAATGGCTGGATGTCCTGAAGATTGGCTTAGAAGATTGATAAGGGAAGGTGTTGTTAGAATGAAAGAATCACATCGTCACCACGACGTTATTTTATGCCTATTCACCGATTTTATTATGATTTGTCGTAAAGGGAGAAAAGTTGACGATAGGGTCCATTTGAAAATTTATAAGCCACCAATGAGATTAGACGTTATAAGCGTCTATCAAAATGATTCTCACGAATTTTCTTTAGTCTATAAAAATGAAATGAACTTTATAACGTCTATATTCGTCTTTCAAAGTGCAGATCCTTGGTTTAATGATATTCAAAGGGCCAAATGTACATATAGAGAAATGTGGGATGGTAAAAAGGACGAAAATGACGAATTAACCTATTCGACAAGAGACTATTCTAGCAACGATCTCTTTCCTACTATTGATTACAGACACAAAGGCGAATTTATTCATCAAACACCTTTAGATAAAAGTCAATCTATTGGAAATGTTAATACCAACATAAAAAAAAGACCACCAATTTTAAAGAAGAGTCATACGTGGGGTGGAAAAGATGAACACAAGCCTCAATTAAAAGTTCCCGATTGGAATCGAGTACAGAAATTAGTTCTAGACGGTCAACTAGAAGTTTCGTAAGTACAACTAGTAACAATAAACAAATTAATTAATTAATTGTTCATTTTCTCTATTTTATAAAGAGACGCCTAGAAAGGAAAGGAAACGCATTGAAGAAAATCGGATAATTTTAAAATATGATTCACCTTTCTACTACTTTCCCAAATTCTTTCTAGTTTTCTCTGTTCATTTTATATAAATACAGACGTCTATTTTTAAAATACAATTGTTCAGTAGAAACTTGCAGCTATGCCAGCGTCTATTGGGATAATTTACAGGTTTAGCAACGTATCAAGTAAGCATTGCTGCTTTTATGTAAATTAGTCTATATTTCAGTTCAGGGTTAGGAAGAATAGTAGACTCTGATCATCAAGAGACCCGTTCAGTGGCTGACCATTGACCCCTTCTTGACCATTGCCCATAGTGTTTGCCATTTTTGCAGACTCCATTTTATGTGGAGATATGGCTTTGTCAGGTTCTTTGCCGAGTCTACCGAAGCTTCCCTTAGGGGCAATGAAGGTCCGTTCATATTGTGATCCCTTGTTGCTCACCAGTTTCTTGAACGACAGGAAATTGTCACTGAATATCCTCTTCGGTCTCTTCTCTCTGGCCGCCATTCGTTCCTATGCAAGCGTGTCGGACACTGCTCAGTGTTTCTCTGAACAGTCATGTGGCGTACTTGATCACTTATTAAGACATAAACAAACACCACGAAATTTGTGTATCACGTATCGATTCCTCAATCAAGATTTATGGAACAAGGCCTTGTCTCTCTGGCTGCTATTTGCTCTATAGCCATTTCAGTTGCCTTACTATCCATGCCTTCTGTTACCTCAAGTCAGACGACTTTACTTTGAAGACAAACTGCTAATCGCACATGAGATTTCCCACCACTCACCAAGTAAGGACAGAAATAATCAATGCCTATGTTTTCAAATATTCGCTGCTAGTTTGGAAGTCGAAGAGAGTATGATCTTCCTTTAGGTATCTTTTTTTCCTTGTGAATCAACTGCATTGTCTGCATCTATCTATAACTCTACAGATAATTGTCACCTCATTTAGTACTCAATAATTCTCTCTAACCAGGACTATCATTCAGGCTGGCAGTTGTCTTCATGAATCTTTTTGACAATCAGATATCCAACAGTGGATTTACCAGCCAAAAAAGGTGGGTAATTTGCTGCCATCTCATCATCCTTCCTTATCTTTCTAAGCATCGCTCTCTGGATACACTCCACTTGCACAATACAGTATCTCATCGTCCTCTTTGGACTAATTTCTTGCTGGGACTATGACCTTATAATTATAAGTAGTGTCATTGAAAAAAAATTTGGTCTACAAATATTGTTCCCTTGAATTTACAACATACAATTTCTTTTGGAAACATTGAAAAATGCATTTGGCTATCTTTAGAAATCCGCAAAGATATCCTGTTCCACTTAAGCATGCCAAAAATGACCATTCGAGGTATAGCAGCAAAATTTAATTGCAGCCCAGCTACAGTGCACAATATAAAAAATCAGTTCAAGCAATTTAAAACAATAAATGACCTGCATAGGTCTGGTAGATCACATAAAATCACCAGGAGGATGGAACTGCAACTCACAAGAACATGCTGATTGAACCCAAAATGGACAGCTAGAGGCATTCTAGAAAATTCTGCAGTTCCTATTCAGATATCACTATCTAGTGTGAAAAAAGTCCTATGTAAGTACAAACTAAATGGCAGAATTGCTGCAAAGAAGCCAGCCCTAAATAGAAAGCAAATTAAAAGCAGAATAGAATTTTGCAAACAAAAACTTAAATGGAGAAAAGTTATATTCAGCAATGAAAGCAAGATTAAACTGCATCTTTGTTGTTAGGAGGCCAGTTGGTAAAAGAAATGATCCAAAATATATAACTAAAACAATAAAGTATGGTGGTGGTAGCATCATGGTCTTTGGATTTATAAAGTATAACGGAAAGAGAGGACTCTGCAAGGTCCCTACCAGAATGAATGCAGACGGCTATATAGATATACTCTCAGAAAATGTGTTGCCTACCTACAAATGGGGAGAAATTTTCCAGCAAGATGGAGTGAGCTGCCATACAGCAAAAAGAACTATTGCATACATCAAGAATGAGATGAAATTGCTAGAAAACTGGCCTGCAAATAGCCCAGATATTAACATTATTGAGCCCATTTGGGGTATTTGCATGCTCAGACAGTCTAGAAATTTTAAAGAGCTTTGGGAAAGTTTTGAGGAGGAATTTTCAAAATATCAAATTTTGAGATACAGGGATTGTATGCCTCTATTGAAAGGAGGCTAAATGCAGTAAGAAAGGCAAAAGGCATGCAAACCAAGTAATAAATTTGATAATTTTATCATTTACAATCATTTGCCTATCTAAAAATGTATATATAAAATAAAAAAAGTACTTTTGATGGACCTGATTGATTTGTTATAATTACTTAATAGCAGTCTAAATTCATAGTATTGTAAAAAAAAGAGTGAAAAACTGATGATTAAAATATAGATATTTTAAAAAATTTTGCCTGATGTTTCATAAGTCATCTCTCTTACAGAAAAAAATATTCCTAACCATAAACTTCATTTGTAAATCAAGATATTTGGATTTTTAGAAATTTTTACTCTTGTTATAATTAATAATATTGCGACTGTATTACAGAATTGTGGACAATTCCATCTAAAATTATTTCTTAGCTTTCTCATGACATTTTGGATACATTCACTCTCTTTTTTTTACCCTCGCTAGCATCACTTAACTTGGTGCTTGACTGTGCTCATTTGTGATGCCACATTTGTGCCACATTGTTCTCTCTCTACTGTCCTAACTTTGGCTAAGTCAAGCTCGCCCTTTAAGTGACACTAACATACTGATATACATTCACTGACTCACACTGACTCACACTAGTACATAATGTACAGCCGCGGTCAAAAATGTTTATACATGAAAAAAAAGAAAATATTTTTTTTAAAAACTCATTTTTCTCTAATTTTGAGAAATAAAATTATTTTTCTTAAATAGAATGATGTTGTTTAAAGGGTATTTTATGTAATTTCATACAACATTTGTTTTTTTCAGCTTTTAAAAGTACTTTTTTTTTTTAATTTTAGACAACAAGTGCTTTTTGCAATTAAATTATATAATTTAAAAATGGCCATAAATATCTATAAAAACATGTTTTTTGTCTAAATAGTTTTTAGAACATTTGAATTTAGAACAAATCTGACTCCGCAGATAATTACTTACATTTCTTTGTCAAAATGAAATATCATTCTCAAATTAGAGAGCTAGCAAGGGCGAAAAAAGCTGAAATGACCTATAAAGAACTTGAGGCGGACTTAAATATCCCAAAACCTTCACTCCAGTATATCTGTGAGAACAAAAGAGCAGGAAAACCTGACAAAAGGGGAAGACCATCCAAAGCCAGTGAAAGACTGAAGTCACTAATTAAAAGAGAATGCATAAGATTACAGGAAAAAAGAGAGTTGGCAACTGCTAAAAAAATTAAGGATAACTTAAGCCTGGATCTTTCTGAAAGAACCATTAGAAGGATTCTAAATAAAAATGGAGCAAAGTATCTGCCCATTTTGAAGGTATGCCCTTTGTCAGCAAGAGCAAAAACCACACGATTAAATATACTGGGTGGATGGATTCAGAGCCAAGTTGAATATAAAAATGTGGTCTTCACAGATGAGTCCAGGTTTTCGCTGGATGGTCCTGATCATCTGTTAACCTGGCAGCTCAATGACAGGCCAAGGCTCTTTAGAGATAAGCTTCCAGTTGGTGGAGGAGGAGTGATGGTGTGGGGGTGTATATCCTCAGATGGTGAAGTTTTTATCCAAAGACTTCCCTCCAACATCTCTGGAGAGATTTATGCCGAATTTCTTCAGGGAACAGTTTTCCCAATTTTGAGGGAAAAATTTGGAGAAAACTTCACCTTTCAGCAGGATAATGCACCCCCACACACTGCCAGAGTAACAATGGATATCCTGGAGGAGAATGGAATTCAAGTCCTTGATTGGCCTCCATACTCTCCAGACCTCAACCCCATAGAGAATTTGTGGGGTTATTTAAAAATTAAAGTGTATGAAATTCAAACACCAAAAACCCTTGACCATTTATGGGACAGGATACAGGAAGAGGTGGACAAAATCAATACAAGCAATAGAGATTTTGTGAAAAATTTATATAGAGGAATCGGGGAGAGAGTTTGGCAAGTTATTATCAATAAAGGAAACAGAATTAAAAAGTAGTTTTTAGACTGAGACAAAACGCAAAAATTTAGAAAAAAAACCTTGACAAACTATGTAATTAAATTTATATAAATATTTTTGGCCATTTTTTTTGGGACTATTTTTAATGATAAATAAACATAGAATTAAAAAACATTCTTTTTTTTATATAAGAATATTTTTTTCAGTAAACTAAATCCATTTTCTGGTTTATAACATATTCTTCAACAAATATTTAAAAAAAGAACAAACAATTTTGTTGAAGAAATCCAAAAAAAAATTATTTTATAGAAAAAAAAAATTTTTTTTTTCATGTATAGATATTTATGACCGCGGCTGTATATTATTCATTCCCCCATGGATAGTAGTTTGCCCATGGCCCTGACCAATGAACACTTTTTTGTCTCTACCCTTTCTTTTGTTGCCATCATGGCTGGGTATAATCTCCATTAAGACTCCGGTTGCCCACTTATGTCTCGCCTTTTGATTATCTGAGATTAAAACTTTGTCTCCGATTTGTAACTTTCTTCCTCCTCTCATTTTCTGTTGTTGTCTCACTAACTCCTGTATGTATATCTTCTTCCACTGTCTTTGTATCTTGTTCTAACATTTCTGATTCCATCTGCTCTCACTCCATTATAGCTCCTTTTGTCTCCTCTTGATTAAATTGGGCGTTACAAATAACTGGTCGGGGTCATCCAGTGGCTGCTGCAGTGGTTTGTCATTGATGACCTTTTCTACTTAGGACCACAGCATCTGTCACTTTTGGTGAGACCATTGATTATGTAGGTATGGCTTTGCCAAGTATTTAGCTGCTTTCACTGCTACTTCCCACACCCCTCCTTGGTAGGGGCCTTTGGGGCTGTGAATCTTCAGTCTATTTGATTTGGCTCCTGGGCCCTGGCTTTAAAGGTTTGGTAGTTATCCAAAATTATTAACTGACGGTCTTCTCTCTCTGGCCCATGCCCTTTCCAAGGCCAGCTCAATGGAATTCATGTGAAGGCCCTTTTACTTCCAGCCTCACCATCTTGCTCTGTAGGCATGTGAGGAGTAATATATAGAGCTTGCCTCCTTTCTTCAGTTTGAAAGGCCCAAAATGGT